ACAGTTGTTAATGACACCCTTTCTTTCTCTTCTTGTACTATACCTGGTACTGGTGTTATAGTTAAGTTATGGTGTCAATAACTGGCAATTTACCTTATAATTAATTACAAAAAAAAAACAGTTGTAACGCTTAATCATATCAAGGTCCGTTCCAAGTTCCACCACATGCGAAAACTATAATATTTCAGTACAAATCATGCACTGTATTCAATTTTTAGGTTGAGCATATTACGGTTTTAACGCATATTTGAACAAACCTTATATTATCCTAGGTGGCTCTGACCACACTTACACATAGCGATACGATACTTGCTTCTAGGTATCGATACGGCGATAGTATTGGTAATTCAGTATCAATGCCTAAATATCGATACTTTCATTGTTTATTATCGTTACTTATATAGTATGTATCGAGGCATCGATAAGATCCCTATTATTGTGTAAAATGTAGGCAGTCATTTAATTTTATCATCTCATTTACAATGATTTATTTTTTATTGTAGTTGGAAACTGGAATATTGCAATCTAAAATAACAGACAATAAATTAGAAAATATGTTTCTATTTTATTGAAAAGAAGAACAGAACTTACCAACTTATTCAAACGTATAAATAGTTTACAAATTCTTTAAAATCTTAAATACATACCACAAGAAAAAGTGACAAGTGACATTTTTTATGTTTTGTTGGTTATGTTATGACTTATGACAAGCGAATGGCTACGTTCGAAACAATATAATATTCACAGTACTTCTAGTGGATACTTTTTTTAGCAAATTTCTTTATTACGTTATGTTATTATAACAGGTAGGGTAAATACGTAAGTAACAAATAGAAGTAACTTCTCATGAACGTTGAATTTACGTTGTATAGTAATGTTATTACGTTCCCTTAAAACAACATCGCCGAAAGGCTTGGCAACGTTATGTGCTAGCTGGGATCATATGCTTAGTTTTATTAATATTTATTTTTAATAAATTAAAACGGCGCCAATTATACAGTGTGTCCGTAAAGTATGGAACAAATTCATTTTTAGCTAAACAGGCCATTTTAAGAAATAATTCTGAAAGACGTCGATTTTTGATTTTAATTTACCGTATTTTAAAATAATCTAATATACAGGGTGAATTACTTTCGAGTAATGACGTCACCCTCATTTTTTTTTAATGGAACACCCCCATTTTGTCTCAATTTTCGGATTACTCTAGCTGAGCTATTTCCAAAAATGTATCACATGTTGATTCCAATTGGTACAGGGTGGGCAAAAATACAATAGTTTTGTGTGTGCTCATAAAGTAACGCGTAACATTCTTTATTAGTTAAATTAACAATATTATCAAAAATACTTATTGTCTAGCGGACAGAATATGATGAAATACATGACTTTATAAAAGTTCGAACTGCAGCCCTTGCTGTATTTGACAGTAACCCAAACGGTGTACAAATTCTTGTTGAACCTTGTTTATTCTGTCTTGAGAAATATTGTTTATTGTTGTCCGAATTCTCTCTTTTAAGTCTTGAATATTTGCTGGTTTCGTTTGATACACAACATTCTTCAGATGGCCCCACATAAAATAATCCAAAGGATTGAAATCTGGTGACCTCGCTGGCCATTCGATAGGTCCACGTCTACCAATCCATTTGTTCGGAAAAATTTCATCTACAGCATAATGTGGAGGTGCTCCATCCTGTTGAAACCATATACTTTCATCACAACCTCCACGATTACGTCTGCTGGGAAACAAATTACGTAAAGTAGGTACGAGATACCCCTTAAAAACTCAAGGTACGTTGCCCTGTTTAAATTACCTTCGATAAAGTAGGGTCCGATGATTCGATTTCTTACAATTTCCAGCCCATACATTTACTTTTTGCGGGCATTGTGTATGATGCTCACGCATCCAGTGGGGGTTTTCTTTTGCCTAGTATCTACAATTCTGACAGTTACCTCGCCATTTAACGTGAAAGTGGCCTCATCAGAAAAAATAATGTTTTGTATCAAGAGAGGGTCTCGGTGACATTTATTCATCATTTTTTCGCAAAATTGGATTCTTCTATCGGGATCATCTTCGTTTAATTCCTGCACAAGTTTGATTTTATAAGGATACCATTTTTCAAGCTTTAATAGTTTGTGTACCGTTGTTTTGCTAACACCGATATTGCGACTAACTTTACGCACAGAAGTGTGCGCGTCTTTTTCGAAACTAAGTAAAACATCTAATGCTGTATCAGCATTTGCAGAGGGACGACCTGATTTGCGTACATTTTCAACCGTACCAATTTCTTTTCAATCTTACTGACGGTTGAACGCGTTATAGGTCTTTCTGGATATTTATCATTAAACAAATTGCACACTTCCATCCGAGTTCGCGATCTGTCTCCATCCCCAATCATCATAAGTATTTCAATTTTTTGTTTAACACTTAACTCCATTTCTAATTCAAATTAAATCTAAGCAATAATTAAAACATTCACGAATACCAATAATATTGTAGTACTAAACTGTCACTAAACATCAATAAATTACTAAACAAATAATGACATTTCACAAAAAACTAGACGACTATGTTTTTTCAAAATTGATAAGAAATAATTTCTTTCATATTCTGTCTGCTAGACCACAAGTCCACCCTGTACCAATTGGAATCAACATGTGATACATTTTTGGAATCAGCTCAGCTAGAGTAATACGAAAATTGAGACAAAATGGAGGTGTTCCATTTAAAAAAAATGACGGTGACGTCATTACTCGAAAGTACTTCACCCTGTATATTAGATTATTATTTTAAAATACGGTAAATTGAAATCAAAAATCGACGTCTTTCAGGATTATTTCTTAAAATGGTCTGTTTAGCTAAAAATGAATTTGTTCCATACTTTACGGACACACTGTATATTTACTATATGCATTGTCATGCATCAAGTCAATGTTAAAATGACCTGTTACAATTATATTAAAATTACACTCACATAAAAAGTCATCGGCAAAATACTCAAAAACTACTAGGGAATCTGTATAAACTACAACTAAGTAATTACTGTTTTAAAATAAAAATTTCAATAGTATTATCCAATATTTTTTTGAAAGCAAAATTTTTTACAACTTAAAACCTTACCTCACTATTAATATTAACCCTATAACTATTATAACCATTTATAGTAATTTCAGAATCGAATATTTTATAAATGTATTTTAGAAAGGCACATTAGTAATGGCCTTTTTGACGAACTATTTACAAACTACACAAACTCTCACCATTGTTCAAATTTGTATCAATTTAGTTAAAAAATACAAAAATGTTTATAAAATATTAATAAAATCACTTATAAACTGCAAAAATAAGCTCAAGAATGATGAAAACCAAAACAAAATGACATTTCTGTCAATTTCGGAAAATTTGACATGCCAAGCAAATCGAAACAAACCAATGAGAATGATGGACATTATTTTTCCACTTTGTACCAAAACAAAGTTCATTTGGACGATAGCTCTAGTAATATATGCTCGAAGATTTTAATCCGTAGATTCCTATCATCATAATTATCATTCAAATATCTTGTTTTTAGTGTTTTTGTCCATACCACTATATTGCGCCAGTGTTTAAATAATTAAAAATACAATTATAATATACAAATATGGTTATCATCGGCAATAGTTTATTTCTGAAGCTTACAAGACCAAAGAAAGTTCCACTCGGCCCACCGACTATTAAACAGCTCTCTCAATAACACCAATTACACAAAACAAAAACAAAAGTACATCTAGTAGTCTAAGTGCACATGCCGGCATCATCGGTACTGTATATTGCTTTAAAACTCCTTGCCGGAGTTGTTTTACTAGTATCTACCGGTGATTAATTTGCTTAATACATCGGCGGTTTTTGTTTTTTTTGTTTGTTTGTGAAAAGAAAACGGTAGAAACTACTCCTCCCATTGTGTGTACATTTTATTGAGTTGATTCATTAATTGAATGCACCGTTTCATACTCGGGATAAGTGACAACAACTTCAATGGGTGGCTTAATACGTTGAAAATGGCTGTAGTTTCCTTTGCGCCAATTTGCAAATTCAAATTTAATGCAGGAAGATAAGTGAACAATTGAAAATTGTAATTTATCATTTTTTCTGTCACCTAGTGATATTATAACGACCCAAAAAAAATATTTACATAACTTCCTGTTTGTTTTTTTTTTTTTATTAAATACCGGAAATTAAAGCAAATCTTGAACGTGATATTTTGTTTTAAAAAACAACAAATATACATAATTCATTATACATTAAATTTTAATATTTTTTTTAAACTGGATACATATTTTTATTTTTAGTTGTTTAAAAATGCTTTAAAAGGTAACAGTGTTTTGTTGAAGGACATAAAATAATGTTCGATAGGTAAGATTAAAAAAGATACAAAAATTGGTGACAACACTATTTGCATGTAATGGGTTGATTTTGATATTGATAAATACTTAATTTAACATTAATTATTGACAATATTTATAGCTGAGATAGATAATTGATTCATTTTAATATCCCAACAATAATAATTGAAGACGCAAGTGGATAAAGGTGTAATGTTTCACAAAAAATTATTTCGAGAAAAACAAATTTAAAGTTTTAGAATTGCATTATAATATTTATATGGCTCTGATGAATAGCCGTTATTTATTAAAATTGGTAATCATAACTATCACAAACAAAAAATATAGTATATTTTAAGTATATTAGGCCATAAAATTCATTTTTTGAAAAAATGTGACATGCCACCTTTATCCACTTGTGTCTTAAATTGTTTTAACTACAAATTGGTAAGCTAGTTTTTATACATCCAAATAATAACACAACAGCCATTTTTTACGTTTCTTTTCATCTCAAAAGCCGTAAACGTAGGGTCAATGCATTTTCCGAATCGAACTTCCGACATTGTCGAATTTTAAATATTACTGTAATTATTATGAACGTTTTTTGACTGTTAAATAAAAATGTTGAAATATCGTGTTACCAGGACTTCGAGCCGTCTGTCGGAAATCAAGTCCAGCCAACCGAATAGTTTGTCGATATCTCATCATTTCGGTGGATCCAATTCGTCGATATCCAGTGGCAGTTACTACGGCAGTGCCAGGAAGAAAAGACCAGCTCCTAAACCGCCGATACCTGCATTTTTGGACGGGTCGAATAACAGTTCTGTAACATCTACTCCTAGTCATAGTGTGGTAAGTTTCTTTTTTATTCTTTTTTTATTCAGGAGTAAACAACAAATTACTTAAAATATTATGTAGGTAACTACTATCATTTCAAAATTATTTCTTCGAAAATGTTTCAACACTGTCACTTCTATTATGGATCTAACGAAAATATACTATCACCCTATATTTTCCTTTATAATTGATGTATACAGAGTGTTTTCTAATTAAATGTCAATATTTAAGTGGATGATTTTTGGGTCAATTTTAAGAAGAAAACTCCATGTGAACGTATGTCCTAGAAGTCTTAACTTTTGAGATACGGAGGCAAAGTTTTTAAAAATAAATATTTTTTTCTACGATCACTGTTGAAAGTAGGCTTTTGCACATTCAAATCTAACTGGAAAGTTGACTTTTTCCATAATTGTCATAGTTTGACATTATTGCCGCATATAGGCGAAAAGTTACTTTACAAAATTCCATTAGAAAGATTATTATTATAAAGCTAATCGGTATTTTTAAAGAAAATATAGACTAATCTGTATCTTTTAGTTGAACATTTAATACTCCAAAGTCATTTTCCTTAATATTTAACTTATCTTGTTGGTGTAGAGCCTAGCGCGTTTGTTTTTGAACCTGATGGTCGTGAGTTCAATCTTCACCAGTTATTTTTTTTTTAAATTTGATTTTTTGTTTGTAAAATGAAATAAAACTTAAAACAGTGTATGAGCTATTAATTTGCTATTTGAGTATTCTAACCGATGATCTTGTTAACCGACTTCAAAAAAGGAGGAGGTTCTCAATTCGTCGCAATATTTTTTTTTATGTATGTTCAGCGATAATTCTTTAACATGGTATCCGATTTCAATTATTCTTTTTTTGTTAGAAAGGGAGTATCTCAGGGGTGGTTCCATATAAATTTAATTAAGATGTGGTGATGGTATCTGCACGTTTTTGAAGTCGGTTTTTTTAAATTTTTAATTTCTAATACTTGTAAGTTATTTTGAAGATGTACTTACTAACAAATATTTGTTATGCGTATCATAAAACTAATCCTAGAGTAAGCAGGCAACAATATACACATAACATACATTTCGTTTGCTAGTCAAGTTAGCCGTATCTGTCAAATTAACGTAGTAAGATTTGAATTCGGCAAAATAAAACTAAATACTTTTAATATCGTGTGATCGTAGAAAAAATCTTGTGTATAATTCGAGAGGAAAGCTATTTGCTGCTTACGATAAAATGCCACACTCCGCTGCGCGTCGCGCGGAAACATTTTATCCTAAGCGGCAAAGTAGCACTTTCTGCTCTTAATACACAAATAGCTACTTTAATAATATTTGTAATACCACTCTAGATTTTTTAATAAAATTTGGTAAACAATTACTATGCATCAAGAGGCATTTTTTATGTACCGCATTTATTTATTTCCACCAGTGGCGTTCGTGCGGAATCTGACTTGCATATTTTGGTAAACATTGATTTCTCTTAAAATAAAAATTATTTTTGAAATTCACATTCATTTCTAACCATTTTTTTATTTTTTTTTTTTTATTTAGCTGGGACCAATTAGCCAGACTTTTCTTTACATTTAAACTGTATGTATATACCTATATCTGTTTATTTGTACAAATTTTGTTCAGTGAAATACAATGGGTGGTTTAAGGGTTAGTAAAACTGTGTGTAATTGTTTATTTTTTTACTCATTTTGTATTTGATTTTGTTTTGTTTCTATTCCATTTTTTATTTACATTTTTGATTTATTTAGATGGTTTTTATATAGGTATACAGTGTAGGCCATCGGTGACGCCTCAGTCTTATGATTTTTTGTTTTAAATCTGTTTCTACAACAAGATGTATAACAGAAAATAATTTTAATAAAACAGGGTTCTCCAAGAAAGTGAAAGATATCAAAGTTAGGTTTAATTCAAGTAAATATGTACAGGGTGAGTCAAAATTCATATACTTATATAATTTTCTCCAGGCTTGTGTAGAAAGATCTCGTAATGCTGCCGTCGTTGCGTCGGTGATTTTTAGACGGTTGGGGACAAAGCGAAAACCCTTGCCTTATGAGTTAGGACGTGTACAAAGAGCTGTCTGGAATTCTCTCGGATTCGGGTGTTACTTTAAAATGTGAGTTGGGCCTTTGAAAACCACCTTTAGACCTCCATTATTGGAGGCTACTAAGAGAACATACATAAGGAGGTCCAAGAATTTTGGCGATGTGTGTATTACTCCCTTAAATATTGACATTCAATTAGAAAACACCCTGTATAAGCTGAGTGTTAATCTTAACTTAATTGATAAAAATTGCATGAAACATATTTCAGATTGTTTTTGTTATTTTCGTTCAATGTATTACAAATTAGAATTATTGTTTATTAGTCAAATGTTTTTTTGATGATTTAACTGTAAACTATTTCTTATTTTTGTATTAGAATTATTATCCTATTGACGTTATTTTGAAATAATGCTCATTATTCTCCTTAATCATTTTCACTGTTTTTTTATTGTGATCCTAAAATAAATATACAGTGTAGATCGATTTTTCCATATTTTTTTAAATAGCCAAACGAATTTTAAAAATTGGATTGTGCACAGTAAATAAAATTTCTTAAAAAATTGTATATTTCTAAATTTATATTTTAATTTTTTTGAAATGACAAACTTATTTTCAAAAAAATATATTGTTTCGCCCTAGATTGATTTTTTTTTTATTTTCACTTTTAGTATAATGCCTAATCTGCTTGAAAATTTGACAGCCATTGTACTAATGGCACCTATAAATTTTTTTTAATTTCTTTAATTTTTTTAATTTTTTTAATATTTTTTAAATTTTTTTATTTATATTTAAGAAAATGCACGAATTGTTTACTTAGATCAATAGTAACGGCGTATATTATTACTTAGTCTGTTTGAAAATTTGACAGCAGTTGAAGGAACAATGGCACTCATTAAAAATTTTTTAATTTTTTTGATTTTTTTTTTATTTATGCTTTAGAAAATTCACGAATTGTTGTACTTACAATATGCAGTGTGAATTATTCTGAACTTAATTTGTATATTAATTTTTTTGAAATGACAAACTAATTTAAAAAAAAAATACATTGTTTCGGCCTAGATCCCGGGCTTTCCTCGTATTCCATCCTGTATATTTGTGTAAAAATTCTTTGACCAATTTTGCATACAGCTAATAATTACTTTTAATATGAATCATGTACTGTTAAGTGTAATTAATTTTCTTAAATGGTCTTGTTCGTGACGTCATTGTGGTTTTTGCTCAAATGCCATACAAAGAGATTTTAATTGCATATCAATTACTAGAAGTCTGTTCGATTTTTCATTTATAACCCCACTGTTAAAGGCAATATTTTCACTTAATTACCTGATAATAAAATAATGAATACCAATTTGATTTATAATTAGTATTATATTAAATAGACAGATAGATAGCTTTTATTATTAGAAAATAGGTACAGTTAACGAAACCGAAATGGAAACGCCAACACCCAGTATATGTATCAATCAGTACTGGCACGTTTGATCTTTAAAAGTAGAAATTTTAGTTGACACTTGACGTTTTCAAGATATGAATAGTTTTCTTCACTCAGACTTAGTTGAATTTTTGTTCTGTTGCTTTTCAAATTCGTGTGTATGAGCGAGATGTGAGATACCTTTATAGATAACGGTTGAACAACTTAATATGCTAGTTCGGTGTGATGTCATTTTGATTCCACTGACATTTAATTCTAACCAAACTTTTAACAAAAACATCAATAAATTTGACAAATACGTTTTTACTGTTTTTAGTTTATTTCTAAATATTGTTTACAGGTCATAAAAAATAGTTTGAAGGTATGTAATTAGTAACTAAACGATTGTATATTTGATGCATGTTATCTACTTACTTTAGGATTATATTTATAAAAGTGAAAAAACGATATAATTTAGGTAAACAAAACGAACAAAACGCACTCAAAAAATCTCCTGTCACTTTAATTGTCAGTGGAACGGTTCCACTGGAACCATAATTACATCATCACTGAACTAGCATATTACTTTGAAGAAGAAAATCGATTAGATATCAGGGCAGTCTTCTCAAATGTAAAAAGGACAGAACTGTTTTAAAAAAATTTTATGTAACTGATTGAGTGTCAAAAATGTTTGAATTCCGAAACTGAAATATTACTTTTAGTTCAAAATATAACGTTAGTTTGTCATTTATTAACTAATTTTTAATGATCGATAGGTGGCTTATAAAGGTAATAAAAACATAGCTCTTAATTATAGTAAGGAACAGAGAAAATCCGTGTTAAAGCAAAGTTGAGCGACCGTTTTCCTTCTGAAAGCAACTACTGTCCAAGTATGTGGTTCTCCTTCTCCCAAAATCAAAGCTATATCTCTGCTCTTTTCCATTTGATATAATGCAATGCCTGTTGCGGTATTAGCCAAGGGAGTAGTTGTTTTCAAGAGGAAAACGATCGAGAACTTTGCTGTGATACGAACTGTGAGTTTTTTGATTGTCCCTCAGCGTTACGTGTATTTGGCCTCTAAATCAACTGATATATCGAAATTTATTTTAATTTTTATTAACTAGATCGTCTTCCCGGATTATATTTATATCGAAAACATTTTTTTTAGTGTGGGTGGAAAAAGTGGGAAATTTTTAAAACCGTGGGTGGATAAAGGAGGAAGTTTGGGATTAAGTGACGGGTAATTTTACATTTTTAATTCGGCAACACTGGTTGTTATAATAAGGCTTAATAATCAGGACTGGTGGTATAATGACAATCGCCTTTTTTTGCTCAATATTCTCCCCGCTTTTTATAACGCCACTGGCCAAAGCCAAATTTATAGGATTGAATTTCAGTAAAAAATCCCATGACAACCAAACAGTGTTCACATTTGGGTTGTGTCGACTGTACATCATAATATAAAAATATATATAAAATATAAATACACAAAATAAAAAATATTAAATACAAAATTTGTTTATAATTACAAAATTATTAAAATTATATATAAATACAAACGATTTTAAATAATAATATCGCACCTTAGGAGAAACATTGACGTAAGTTCAAACGTACTAAATGTTGGGAATCAGCATGTAAATATTTTAAAATTGTTTAAAGTAAAACAAAAGTGTTTACTGCTTGACGAGATGTGCAATTATATTTTAAATTTTTTGTATGGTCTATACAGTACCATTTAAAGTTGTTTTATTTGAACAAATTCGAAAAAACTGCAACTAAACTGCAATTCTGTCATTGTATCTCCAAAATTTGGTCAATTTGGTCAATTTTGTCAATAGAAAATAGTTATTTATTGTTTCGGCCTTTATTGTTTCATGCGTAGAGTTAGTAGAATTGGCGCAAAGTAAATATCATATGACAGACGCACGTTGCAGTGATTTGTGAGTCATTTAAAGTGATTTATAACATTTTAAGCAGATATTTGTATTATAGTATGTTGTACTTCATTCTTTGTAAGTGATATTAGTGAAAAACATTTAAAAAATGTGGCATACAATTTACGGAAGTAACAACAACAATCCAAGTAAAAGATTTAAAGAAGACATTGTTTTTTTGCTTTTCTGGACAGCCAGAGGTTAGTCAGAAGTGGCCCAAGGATGACCTTAGTGGAAAGTTCCAGGGGGTTATCCCCACTGGATTAAAATTCTTCCGTTCCATGAACCTTTTATTAAAAAAATATGCTAAAAAGGGAATTGTTATAGGCAATGCTACCCATCTCCCTCCGAAATTTCGACCTGGAGCTGGAGACGCCCTTGCAGTTGCCTGTGCCCGTCCAGATAAATTTAAAACAGAAAATTGTCATGTGTTTTCCAAGCTCATTTACATTTCCAATTATTATAAGAGGAACCTCAAAGAAAAATTTCACGTTGGTTCATTCGTAACTCGGAACTTCTTAACTGGGGACTATACCCTTTGAATGCTAACAATTTACAGCAAATATACAGCAAAGGTGAAATTTTATAGGTAGCAAAAGAAGAAAATTTCGGCATGTTGTATTTAATAAAAGAATAAAAAACTGTCAGTGACTATATTCAAGAAAAATGCAGTGACATTTTATTTTAATTTTGTATAGACATCCCAGTATCTAGCAGTTATTTGTATTTGATATATGATTTATTTTTATGGTCTGTATTATACAGGGTGTAACTAAATAAGTGTAAAACACCCTGTATTATATGTATGTATGAAAAATAGTTTTTGAAAACCTATTTTTGTTATCTTACTTATAAATAAATCCCATCTTTACCACAAAATAAGTAGTAACTATGTATATATTCAATTGGGTAATATAATGCAGGTAAATTAATCACTAGTTGCGAACGTAATCAGTTAAAAATTTCCGGTGTTTCCAGATACGAAATTTTTACCCAGGGTAACCAGTTGAGAAGTTCCGAGTTGTGAAGTTACCTTTCTCATTACCCCCGATTATAGAAACTATTTTTTAGAATTTGAATATTTTTCAAAATTAAAAACCTGCATTCGAATTTGTATAACAAAAATAAATCATTAAAAAGAAAAAGGAAAAAACTTTCTTAAAATAGATTTTTATTTTATATATGTATTTGCATTTATTTTCATCCAAAGCTCTTTTCTTAATTACCTCATAATAATATCCTTAAATATTTAATGTAATTTCTATAATATTCATGAAATTTCTGTAAATTTCCTCACACTTGGTCAGTATTTTTAAATTCGCGCCTATACAAACTCTACGCGTGACGTCATGCGCGTGGCCGTCCTATTTTTAACACAGTTGATATCCTACCTTTTATTTTTTATACCATGGGATACTACAATGATCAAAACCGACCATTTTTTTGCACTACTCTAGTGAGGTTCAGTCCAACCGAAACTCCAATGTTATCGTCTAAGTACTCGTATTTTGAAGTTATTTCTTAAATTATGCCAACAATTACATTCCGCAGTTTGTCAAAGTACTTTTGAATTACCGTGTATATTGGAGCAACAAAGACACAATTTGCAGATCAAGCCCAAACTTTTTTTTAATAATAACAAATAGGGTTACAATGACATAATTACATTTTTGTCATTGAATCTATACTTTTATGAAAACTAACTTACAAATATGAAAAACAATGGCACAAAATACATTTGGGTTATTATTGCTCCAAACAAATGGACAACTGTCAAAACTACAATAGCGCAACTGACTATTCCGACTCTGTTGCACTAAAAGTGTGGGATATGTAGATCAATGCACCGGAGACATAACCGTCATATACCAGAAATGAATCTAACTAAAATTATGACTTTTGTTTCCACAGATAAAGTTGTGTTATATGACTTTTGTGGTATAACTATCTCAAATTATGAGAAATTTGCACTTATGTCATTGTTTCTCTAAAGGTGCGATAAAGTAAATGAATAATAATTTGCAATATTATAAATAAGACTTTGAGAACATTTTACATTTTCACTTAGACTTATAATTAATGAACATTTTTTATATTAGTGTTTTAGTATTAAATGTTTAAATGATTTTTTGTTTTAGTATTATACTATTGAATTTATTTATTAAGGGCCAGTCTTTTCACATCTGAATAAAGTTGAAAGTAATTACTTTCTGATTAAACTATGGGGCCTATTGTATGTTAATTTGTTAAGAGTAAACTTACATGTAACTTTACTCAGAGGTGAAAAGATCGGGGATAAAATTACAAATAAAGCGTTGTAGCTTCTACACATTGAAAAAAAAATGAAGTAGAGCTTTTTAAATCCCATTTATCGATATATTAATAATATAAAAGTGAATATCCTTTAATTAATTATAAGCCTTTTTATTTTTCTAGCCACATTCACCAAAAACCACTCCTAAATACAGAAAAGATAGGAAAGCACCTCCGCCGCCACCGAAATTCACTTCTACGCCCAATCCTTCCGACAAAAATGAAGAAAAAGCCTCCACCGATGACTTACACAAGGAGAAAACAGTCAAAGATGAGGTCAACAGGAATTTACAAAGTAGGTATTTTTTCGGGTCTATTGTGGCTATTAATATTTGTTAGAGCCCTTTATAGTCTACATTGTAATCTCCATTGTTTCATAAAATGATCCTAAACAACTAAATTTGTCGAAATTAGAACTAATAATAAAAATCTTGAAATTTCAACATCCTGTAGATCAGTAACGATGCGTTTGTGGACCTGTTTATATTAATTTTTACTCATTAAATAAGCTAAAGAATTGCCCCAGTTTGTATGTACATTTAGGAAAACCCTAAATATTTATTTCAGTAGCAGGCGCATTATCCAGTACTCCACATTCAACTAAGCTGTTGTAAACAATATAACTTCTTTGCTTAGTAGATTTCGTAATGAATAAAATTTATAAGTTAGTTTTTTTAGACGTTTAGTTGTGTACTCAGTGTGAATTGACCATTTAAGATGCTTGTCGATATAGATACCCAGGTATTTGATTGAATCAGTTAGTTTTATTTCTTATAAACTCCATTGATTTTAATTGAGTCCTGCAACTGTTGGTGAAAACGCAATAAATTTTGTTTTCGAGATGTTTAAACTTTGCATCCAACCAATTTTTGATATCATTTAGTGCTTGTTGTAAATTTCCCCAAGCCTTATCCCATGTATTCCCTGTACAATTTAAGACCGTATCTTAAGCATAAGAAATGATGCTACATTCTTTATAAGAGAGTAAATCGTTTATAAAAATTAAAAATAAAGTAGGTCCAAGGATAGTGCCTTGTGGAACACCTGTTATAACTGTTCTTTTTCCACTTAATTCACAACCAACGTGAACTTGTTGTGGTATATCTGTCAAGTAATTACAAAAAAGTTTTAAAACATTACCGCGAAAACATGTTTAATTTTCCAAGTAATTTTTGGTGTGAAACTGTATCAAATGCTTTCTGAAGATCAAGAAAAAGCGCAATATTCTTTTTATTTTCATGAAAGTTGGCTAGTATATCTGATATAAGTATTTGTAAAGGTAGTTCTGTTCCAATCCCCTTTTGGAACCCGTTTTTCTGAGATTATTTTATGTTTATTTAGAAATTACCATACTCTTTTATTTAAACATTTTTCGAATATCTTTGAGAAATTGTTTATTATTGAAATTGGCCGATAATTTGTCATTTCGTCTCTCCTATTAGATTTATAAATTAGTATGACACAACTCTCTTTAAACTGAATTGGAATATTTGTCGTTAAAAATATTAGATTGAATATATGTGCGGGAGGTTTTGCGATATTGGATTTAACTAATTTAATGACTTTAGCTGTTGTTTTATCCATTCCCAGAGAAGCATTGTTTTTAAGACCTGAAATTAGTTCCTCAACTTCCAAATGTTCTGTTAGTTCTAAGAATATTGACTTGTTCCATTTGTCTGATATTTTATTAGTTAGGTTAAGGTTTTTGATTTTATTTGATATTTTTTCACCTATTTTTATAAAAAAATTTGTTTTTGATCATCATAATATTCCCTTCTATTTGAATTTTGTGTGCGATGTTTGTTATTTCATTTATTATTTCCCAGGTTTTTTTTATAGTTTAGACTGACTTCATTTAGTTTATTTATATTTTATTAATCTATTTAAAACATTTCTATACCTTTTGTATTCTTCTTTAGTGTAAATATTATTTTTATTATTTAAAACTTTCTTTTTTAATAAATCAAGTTTTCTAATTGATGTTAGTAGTCTTGCGGTCATCCACGGTTTTATTTTTATGTTTTTATTATTAATGAATGTAGCATCTTCAAGAATTTTATTGAATTTTTCATGAAGTAAGTTAGTCGCTTTTTGTGGATCTTGACACTCATACAAATCATCCCAATTTACCATTTTCATTTTATCCTTAACTAGTGTTTCATTTATTTTAATAATTTCTATATAATTTAATTTGAAAGTTTTTCATCCACCTCCTGATCATCATTAAACAATATTATATTTTTATTGAATTAATTGTATTTTAGTTAATGAAGATCCTGGCAAATTGTCAGTTTTCAACAAGAGCACATTCGGGAAGTGGAAAAGAAAGAAGGGACTAGCACCTTCGAAACCCGTTCCTCAGCGACGTACGCTCAAGTGTTTGCCCATGGCGGAAATTAAGAAAGAACTGGAATTCATCGAAATTCAACAGCAGGGTTTGGAAAAGCAGGGAGTTCGATTGGAGCAGATAATTAGAGAAAAATGTGAGGGTACAACGGACAACGGTTCTGCAAATCAAGGTAATTATAAATATGAGTTGAATGTTATTATTTTGTGTTTTATGTACCGTCATTTGGGGTGACTTGAGAAGTTCTTAAATTTTTCAAAATGGTATATCTCTAAAACTATTGTACTTATCGACTATTTAGATACATTTAATTCAAGTCTTGATCAGTAGAATCAATTTTATTAATTAAAATCTCGCGTAAGAACAAGTTTTTATGTATAGTGAAACTTAACGGACACCAACAGGGAAAAATAATTGTCCATTGTGACAGAGTTGTCGTTAAATCAGTTGAAATAAAAAAGAGGTTTCTGTTTGCTTGATCTTTAATTATACATTTTCGTATATGCATATACACAAATAAAATACTAATGTAAAGAAGGTAGGTATTACTTCTTAAAAAAATCATCAATTTTGGTTTGTTTTGACAATTTCTGACTCAACATTTAGAATTATTACCTTTGTGTATAAAAAATAATTCTAAGTCTCTTAATTTTAAGTAAGCATTATTTAAATGACTTACAGTTGTAGTAAGTTCTAGTGCATCGTCACTTCCATTGTCGGAAACATTGGACACCTGTTCGTTTTCTTTAAAATCACTAATACAACTAGTTAAGTTTACTTCAGGATTTTCCGTTAATAGGACTGCATGAATCTACACGTAGTTCAAAAAATTTTTAACTCCATTACTTTCGAAAAAAGTTGACAATGGCAAATCGTCTTCCAGGTCCTGTAGCTCAAGATTTTCCACAATTTCTTCTCCATTACTATCGTTTCTTAAAAAACCGCACCTAATGAAACACTTTTCAATTGTTTTGGCTGAAACGTTTTTCCATGCTGCCACTTTCCAAGGCATTAGCAGTCGTTATGGACTTCTTCAGTTCAACCGTTGATAAAGAACATTCTATAGATCAGGGATGGCCAACAAGTCGATCGCGAGACCAATTTTGATCGATCGTGACTCAGCTTAATGACTTAGTTTTTCTTACCGATTTTACTTTAATATTAAGCCATTTAAATTAGAATTACAAAGTAAAAATAAAACAGTAATTGCTATGATCAGCTGCATAGACGCATATAAAAGAAAACTTATTTTGCTAATAGAAGATCTGCAACAAATATTCTGAATCATTTAACAAATATGGCGGATAATCTACAAAAACGTAAAAATATTAATTATAAGATCGACAAATACGTCGCGGAAATCTAAAAGTAACTAAAGATTTTGAGGTAAGATTACAGGATTTTGAAAAAATTAAAGTAATTGTGGAATTTAAAAAAGGTTGAAGGAAATTAAAATTTTCGGGAATAAATTAGGCAATAATATCTAGAATATGCATATATTTTAAAGTTTTAATTCCTTCCAGTTTCCAAGAAAAAAAAACCAAAGGGCTTTAAATTTTTAAATATCATAATGAAAATAAATAATAATAATAATAATAATAATAATGTTTATTTTACTTCTTACATATATTTTTTTTTTTTTTACAAATAAATTCTCTTTTAATGTAAATAAACATGGGTTAGTCCGAAAAAACCATAAGGTTGTGCTCGGAAATTACTTCTGTTTATTAGTAGCGCCATAATTGCTGATAAAAATTAATAATTATAACAATAGACTTAAGATTAATAATCATACCAATAGTAATTACAATATTAATAAATGTAAATATGTGCATTAATAATAATAATAAATAATATACATGAATAATAATAATTAATTGTACTAGCTGGCAGACTAATGATTAATTAATAATATGAACATGAGTATAATAAGAGTAGTTAATATTATTAAATTAAATACTTAATACAAATAAATATAACAATAATAATAATGCGTTCTTAATAAATATTATAATTAGTTAAAAAAATTATATAAAAAGAAAAAGCATTAGAATATAACAAAACAGAATTTTCAAGAACATGTAAAAACACACATTGACATATGAAATGTAGAATTAACAAACGAATTGTAAATTATGACAAAAAAAGATGAAAAGCATTGAACAATTTTTGATGACAACAAGAAAGCATGAAAATGATTACACTAATTTGGTTAAATTTGATGTTTTTTTTTAATTTTTATTTTTTTAGAGATTACTTTAGGTTTAATTTTTATTTAGATGTTTTAGTTTAATTCAATTAAGTCATGAATATTTTGTCGACCAGTATTTATCAAAAAAATTTTGAAGATCTTTTTAATGTAGGATAAGGAATTTATTTTTCTTATATGGATTTTATAGATTTCTGGCAGAAAATTGTATATTTTAGGAGCTAAGAAGGTAAAACATCTTTGTCCTATAGTTTTTTTTAATAACGGGGTCTTAACAAATAATGACGATTTTTGACGAGTATCATACATGTGATCAATTTCATGTAATATGATTTCCTTATTTTTATATGTAAAAATTAAAACTGCATGGCAATATAACTGACGAATATCAAGCAAATTGGCCTCCTGAAAAAGTAGGTCTGTGGAAAAATGAAAAGGTTTTCTTAATAATAATTTTAGAAATCGTTTTTGGAGAATTTCCATACTCTTTAAGTGAACTTGGTACAGCCCACCCCATACAAGTATACCATATTGTAGCCTTGATTCAACGAGTGCATAATAAATAGTTTTTAAGTAATTAACACTTAAAATGGTACTTAAGTATTTAAATTTATAAAGTAAACTTCTTAGTGTTTTTGTTATATTTTGTACATGTTTGTCCCACTTTAAATTACAATCTATCGTAATGCCAAGATACTTAATATCATTAGCTTTTTTTATTATTGTATCCTTGTTATTTATATTGATTGTAATTAATTGATAATCGGGCATACTGTTATTGTAAGCAGCAAAGGGAATAAAAAATGTTTTTTCAAAATTAACAGTTAGTAAGTTGTGATTAAACCATTCCATAATTTTTTGCATATCATTTTCAATTTTTTTTTGTAAATTATCCCATGTTTTACTGCTATAAATGATGGCAGTATCGTCAGCGAAACATAATATCTCACCAGATGTTTCTAAATTGAGTAGGCTATTTACGTATAAGGAAAACAGCAACGGTCCTAAAATAGTTCCCTGAGGTACCCCGTACTCAATATGTAAAACATCACTGTAACAATTCTTGGTTTTTACCGTTTGTGTTCTTTCTTTAAGGTAGCTTGTCATTAATTTGTGTGGTATACCCCTGATACCAAGATCATCCAAGACATCTAACAATTGAGCGTATGACACAGTGTCAAATGCCTTGGCAAGGTCTAAAAATATGGTAATTGTAGGAATACTCTTATCTACCAAATTATAGATTTTTGATGTTAGTGTTTTTATAGCATCTACTGTAGACACACTTTTTCTAAATCCATATTGATTACTCGATATAAGGTTGTATCTATCTAAATCATCTATCTAAATCAAAAATCAAATGCATTCCTCAACAGCACTATTCTTAATATAAAACCCAAATTTAAGTTCTTAATGTCTTGTTAATGATTTTTTTTAAATTTTCCAAAATTAGTGGCTAAAACGCCTCGTTAAGTGCTATTTTCTGGTGTAAACTGGTGTAACTCGTTGCAAGAAACGAATGATTACTAAGAATGTACAATACGATAGTTACAGACATGTTACACCAGAAAGCAGCACTTAACGAGGCGTTTTAGCCACTAATTAAGAATAGTGCTGTTGAGGAATGCATTTATTTTCATTATGATATTTCAAAATTTAAAGCCCTTTGATTTTTTCTCTTGGAAACTAGAAGGAATTTAAACTTTAAAATATATGCATATTGTAGATATTATTGCCTAATTTATTTTGCCAATTTTCTTTTTTTTTTTTTTTTTAATTACTCTTTGTGATATATGCTTGTCCGAAAATTATAAGGGGTGATGTAATCACCTTAAGTGTGAATCGCATTAACCAAACAATTTCAGATATATTTCAAATGGATCAAAAGGCATCAGAAAATAAAATCATAATTTTACAAACAGACTTAATCCTACAAGCTAGAAAATCTGAAGAATATTTTTGGAAATATGTTAACCCTAGAAAAATATCTCTGTATCACCATCACCAAATGTAGCGAATACATCTATTCTTGTTTCGGATCTACATACTTATGCGAATCGCCATTTCATGCTTGAAGCTAACGAAGACTAAACAACGTTCTGTCCTGACTGATTTCCATACTGAAGACTCATTATTATTAGTATTATCTCTACGATATTGCTCTAAATTTAATATTATGTCTTGAGCAAAACTTGTCGAAGCTTTAAAATTCATAAAATTAAAGTTCTTTCGCCTCTAAAGCGTTTTCTTTAATTGTTGGTCCATATAATGGAATGTTCTTAATTCTCAATTTACAAAACAAATCGTACACCTTCAGTTTTAATCCTCTTTTTTTTGTTGTACATTTCCATTTTCACTATACATTTTTTAAAAGTCGGCCTTTTTCTTTAAAATGTCACTAAGTTGAGTTTCTCCTATTTGAATCTTTTCGGCCAAAACTCGAACACTGTAATTATTTTTTTCAGATGCCTCTATCACCGATATTTTTTCTTCCAAACTTAAAAACTTTCTCTTAGTCGGAGACATTGTTACAAAATATCGCTACTAAATTAGAAATGTGTACAAAGGATATAGTATAGTAGATTTACACAAAAAGTTGGCCAAAGGTGAAACTAATTCCCACAAAGACGGGGTTTGATTTTTTGAGCTCATTACTCATATCCTTTCAACATACTAAAATTCTAGAAAAATGTGAGTGTGCAAAATGCGCTTTTTGGGCGCAATTTTTTTTTTTTTTAATTCATGAAAAATCGTGTATGATATCAAATAATGGGAAATTTTATGCTGAAAAAGATTATGATAATGAGCAAAAAAGATAAAAAATAATAACAAAGTGGTAGGCGAAAAATAGGAAGCTTCTCTAGAAAATTTTATTTTTAATAATCAAGAGGCTGTATAAAAAATGCAAAAATTAAGTCTAAGTCTTCATTATTTTCAACACGTTCTCTCGAGGCACTATTTGTATAATCGCGACCAGAACAGTTGCAGCATATCTCAGTACATTCCACACCATACCGTCGACAAGTACATCTACCACTACCACACGGCTCATTTGTATCCGTATTTCAGGTGCATCAGATTGTGTTTAGTAATAATTCTGATACAGGGCTCATTTCGCATATTAAGGGCTGTCGTTGGTCTCCTACTTTTTTCCAACCCCACTCTTTGGGGTTGGCGATATTGGTGTTCATAGTTTTCCAATAAAGGCATTGTAAATGTACGCAAAGAAGGTGCTGAACAGCAGCATCTTCAGTTGGTGGCAATCTTGCAATATTGAATTCACTTTTGGCAGTTGTAATTTTTTTCAAGTAGAGATTATATCGTAGTAGATTTAAGGTCTCTGTGTTTATATTTCCACCGTACAACGATACCAATGCTTTTCCCATCAATAAAATAAATTCGAATTTTTTCTTATTTATGAAATTGAAATTTGTGTATTTCTTGTAGTGTTTCTATTAAAAATGAAATTTGTGAAGAATCACCCAAAAAAATACAATTTATATATAGTGTGTTAAAGCTTTCATGTCAAAATCAAAACGGAAGTTTTTATTATTTTTCAAACGTAAATTTTTTAAAAATTGTTTATATTATTATTATCGAGATTTTCCTACAATTTATGTCTAATTAAACTGCCATTCTGCATTGTGACAGAAATATTTCGGTTTACACGTTTAAAAAGTACCATGATTTTCACTTCAGAATCGAAGTATAGGGATACTTAATTAATTAAGTTTATAAATAATAAACAGTATTTTGTTATTCATTTTTATTCTTTTTAATCCATAATCTGTTCTTTTTCAACATAAAATTTCCCGTTATTTAATACCTGTGGGAACTTTATTTGTTTATCCCATCAATAAAATATTTAAGATATATTTACAGAAGTATAATTATTGTAAAATAGAAATTAATGACATGTCATGTATATAATTGTAAAATCAAAAAATGTCATAATAATTTTTTTGTTTTATCTTTAATTAATATCATCTCTCCCGGCAACCAGGGAGCCACGGTGAAGGGAGCTTAATATTTATCCATCCACGACTGCCACAAAGATTGGAGGTTATAAATTTGTGAAAACTATGATTAAGGTGAAAGGTAGTAATTAGTGCAACAGTAGGCACTACAATACCACACACGATTTTTCATGAATTTTGAAAAAAAATTCAAGATGGCGGCCAAAAAACGCATTTCACACACTCACATTTTTCTAGACTTTTAGTATGTTGAAAGAATATGAGTAATGAGCTCAAAAATTCAGTCCTCGTCTTTGTGGGAATTAGTTCCAGCCTAAACCCTACTTCGACTATACTAATAAATAAATTCTAAAATGGGTTTTTCCAAATCAAACTCGAAGTACTTAATTTTCCAGTTTTATGACTATAAGTACCTACCTACTTATTTTATGGCTACAATAAGTTATTTGGTATTCCAAGATCCCGAGCCCCAATTTTAATCGCCTTTATTGTTCGTTGTTGGCAGCTAAAATTACAAGAATTTTATAGAAAAAAAATGAAGGTAAATTTTGCCTGGAGTCATTATGAAGAGGGTCTATTGTCTTAGCCCATTTACCCATATATGAAATGTTCGGTGACCTAAAAAATGTCCGTTCAGTAGAGGTTTCCGTTAACAGAAGTTTTACTGTAATTAAAAAAAATGGTTGTCTCAAATCATACGCATTTTCGAGTAACTTGAGACAACAACGATTTTAAACGCTCTACTCATGTTTAAAACCGCCAAGAAGTTAACTTGAAACTTAAAAGGTTCTTTTAAAAAAGCACTACGATTTTTTTTTACAAATCAAATCAAAATATTTTTTTCGAAAAACATTTGTAATGTTATAAACTTAAGCGTTGACTTTTCTAAATAATTAATGTAATGTACCCCCTTTTCTAACAAATATAGAAATCGGATAAAGATGAAGTCCTTAAAGTCCTTTTAAATACAGTGTTGCCGAATTTATTTAACGTAGTTTTGAAAATTGTTTCAATCAACCCAGTCATCGCAAGTAGTCCAAAATGATGGTATCTTTATAAAAATGATGGTATCTTTATAAACTAGTCTAAAATAATGTGTTATTTTTATTTGTTTTTTTTTTTTTTAGAAGACGACATTCCTATTGAAGTAGACGATCTAATTCTTCAGCTCTTCGAACTTGTTAACGAGAAAAATGAGCTCTTTAGGAAACAGACTGAATTAATGTACCTGTAAGTAAAACATCTATTTTCTAAATAATCTAAATACTGCATTTAAGAATTATTAGTTCCATTCAATTTTAAATTGATTTAGCTAATCATGAAAAACATTTTAAATTAATTTTTTTTGGCTTAAAAGTCAATTTTTAATCCGTTTTTATTTTGAAATATTTTCTATTTATGTAAGCTAAAGACTGCTTTAGACTACACAATTTCTTGTACAAGATTTGATACAATTTCTTGTACAATTGCCTCTTGGCGCGATCCCATACATAGAAGAACTCTGAAGCATCTTCCTGAATCCATTTTTCCCATCCTCACCCTACTCCTAAACGCTTTTCTCCCTCGCCTACTTTCCACTTGCCTGGAAATCCACCCGCCTGGAAATCCACCCACCATTTTGATTCCAAAACCAGGCAAGGGCCCCAAATCCTTAGATTGATACCGTCCTATCTCCTTCATATCAGTCCTAGGTAAACTCCTTGAACTTCTGCTCAAAGAATGTGGGACTTTTGTGAAGAAAGAAATATCATCCTTCAATCCCAACATAGTTTCAGACCTCAACACTCCACACAGGATTCAATATCCTCCCTTCACACTATTGCGGTCACTGCAGTAAACTCCCAACAAATCTCATCAACCGTTCTTCTAGATGTTCAAAAAGCCTTAGTTCAAGTCTGGCGTGCTGGACTAGTCAAAAAGTTCATGAACATAGATCTCACCCCCCAGTAACTCCAAACTCATTTACTCCTACCTCACTGACAGAACAGTCACGGTCAAAGTAGGCAACTCCCTGTCAGACTCATTTACCCCATTTGCTAGGGTCCGTCAGGGCTCCATACACACATGACATTCAACCTCCAAACCACCCATCGTCAAAATGCCTTCTATACACCGACGATACTGCTCTGCTCTCTGTAGCCAAAAATTCTGACCAACTAAATACCCGAACCCTAAAATTTCTCTCTTGTGTAGCAAATGGAGGGTCTCACTCAATCCACAAAAAATACAATTTATTATCTTTAAACATTCTAACTAACAAAGAACCTCCCAGATTCCCCACCCAACACGTCAATGTAAATCTCTTTTATTACATTTTAAAATCATATTTGTATTTAATTGATAAAAGTTGTTAGTATTAAGTATGTACGTTAAATAACGAATTTTCTTTTGATTTACAGACGGCGGCAACAAAGACTTGAAGAAGAACATGCCGACATTGAATATCAAATTAGATGCCTTATGATGCAACCCGAAGCTAATAAAACAGATTCCGATAAAGCACGGGAAGAGGAACTGATACAAAGGTAACCTACATGACTTAAATAAAACGCAATTAAATTATAAAAATGTTAGACTACAACAACAAATTGTCATAATTGTTTTCTTTTCAGGTTGGTGGAGATAGTAGAAAGGCGAAATGAAATAGTGGAATGTCTAGAAAAAGATAGGGTACGTGAAGCGGAAGAAGATGACAGCATCAGTAATCACATCAATCTCTTCACTTTGAGTAGAGACAACCTCGCCGATAAAGAGTTACCTACTAAAAATGAAAAATCGAAGAAAGAGAAGAAGAAGGAAAAGAGCAAGGGCAAGGAAAAGAAAAAGTCCAAACACAAATCTAAGGAAAAAGTAGACGTCGATAAAGATGTAGACGAAACGGAGACTAGCATGAACACTATGGAGAAGAAGAAAAAGAAGAAATTTAATTTATTTTAAGCTACTTAAAAAAAATTATCTTTTATTTTAACATCACGATCGATTTTGATTTATTTTGGCCTAATTATTCACTTTTTTTAAAGGTAAAATAATTTCGCTGTGAATTGTTTTTGTTAAGTTATTTAAGTATATGGAAAACATTGTCATTATTTCGAAATATGTGCTTTAATTTTGTTTTTTTTTTTTATTATAAGACAATATATTTTTTGTACTTTATGTGATTTTATCTTTGATTATACCTACATTAATAAAAGAACCATTATGAAAATATTGTTTTATTTAAGATGATTTTAACAATCTGAAATTTTACAGCTTAATGCAAAATTCATGGTCTTCTGGCATTACGTTTTAGAAACAATTTTTTATTCTAACAGCGAAATCGGATATAACACACATTCTGCTATTTGAGGAGCTTTCGTCAATTTTTATTTAGTATGTCAAATCTTGGACAAATTCTGGCTTCAACAGTTTTCGTTTTAAGTAATAAAATAAAAATAATTTTATTGCCCAATAGAATAATTCATTTACAGAACAAAATGTATGTGATAAATGTCAATCATAATATTTTGACAGAAAATAATTTTAACTCGCAAAAAAAATAAAAAATCCTAAATTCATTAGCTACAAGTTAGTACAATAATTGTACATTAATTATTAATGTTATTTAATATTTTTTCCCAAGTTTGTTCGAAAACTTGCAATAGGAAATATTTTACGATATCTAATGGCTATTTGGGGAATATTAAAATGTATTTGATTTATCAAAAATGGTACATCAATGGTATTATGTAATATTTTATAAAGAAATGTCCCACTGGAAACTACCCATCTATTTTCCAAAGTTGGTATACTGAACCTCGAATGGGATACTACACACCTACAGAGCTGTTGTAAGTACCAAGAAAACATACTTAAGTTTTAAATACATTTTTTTTTAATACGAATCAAGTACCAGTACAAGAAAAGTACTTAGCAATGAAAAAAAGCCTATTTGCAATATCTTACAAATAATAATACAAATAAGAGAAACCTGTAGACCAAACTAAATGATCTTAATATTTATAGTAAAACTAAAGAAAACGTAATAGAGAATAAAGACTGTACGCACACAATAACATGTAATTATTTTTGTGGCATAAATTTCCTCTTCAAAATCGAAAATATGTCATAAAAATAAAAAAATGATTCAAAGGGGGGAAAGGTTTAAATTAAATTAAAAGCCAATGTACATTTTACAGTTTATATAAATATATAATTATTTTTTATAAAATATAGGAAAAGTAATGCTTATCTCAAATTATATGAGTAATATTTCCTTTTTCAATTATTAAAGGAATAAAATGAAACGTAGTTTTGTCCCAAATAAAACTATGCAATACAAAAATTGATTACTTAAAAAACTATTAAATAATTAAACTAATTTCTTTTGTAATATTTCTTTTTTTCATTATCTTCGAAATACAAGCCAGGATGCAAGTACAATCTTTTAAATCCTCGATTTCTGTATTCTGCTGTTTGCATTGACATGTTTTCTGACATTCTCCTTCTCAAATCTTGATCTATCTTCATCATTAGGCTATCCACCGTAAGATTATGGGCATGGTTCATAAAAACTCTGCATAACAGTTCTATGTACCAAGAACCTCGATTATAGTCTCTGTGTGCTTTATAACCTAAAATCAAATAAATTACTTTTTTAATTTAAAAGCTGGAGAAATAAAATAAACAATAGTTGGAATGACTAATGAATATTTTACTTCCAAGATTAATCCCAAAGTAACCTAAAATGGGAAGAATAAAGAGGAAATAAACAATACGATTGCACTGAAGAGAATAACAAAAGATCTGAGACAAAAATTGTTTTTCAATTTTTTTTATGATTTTTATTTCATTTTAACCATCCAGATAGAATAAAGTAGAGACGACATAAACACTATTTTGTGATATGACAAACGGACGCACTTCAAGTGACGGAAAAGTGTAATGAAAATGGCAACTTGAGTTGTACTTTGATTTATTTGAAGTCAATAATTTTATATTGTAAGACTGGCGGAAAGAAAATGATTTTATATCATTTAATGAAGCTATTTAAACAAAATGGTATTTATTCTCACCAAAACTGACTAGTTTCACTAGCTCTAGTTTGATATATAACATAAAAGTGTAATGGAAAAGTGTGGACACTTTAGCATCGTCATAGCATCTCCTCTTTATTCTATCTCAATTATTTCAAGCAATTTAAATAGTAAAGGAAATAAATTTCAATTTTCAAATATGACTAGGGATGAGCGTATCGAACATCAATGTTTTCTGAAAGTACGATTTTTTGACATCGATGTTGATAAGACTATGTTTTACTGACATGTAGTTTGAAAAAACCACTGTTTTTTGCATTGAAATTTTATTCATACTTTTATCGGTAAAAAATATACCTTCTGGCATTGAGATCATAGGCACTGCATTGGAGCGCAATCTATTATTAGTAAGTAGTCAAATCGAAATACTTCTTTTAATTGACAATTTTCCTTTACCTGAGAGGTAAAAACACTGAGGAAGAGTTAGTTTCTTTTATATAATTCAATTAGTTTTTCAATTATTAAAAGTTTACAATTATGGGTTAGTAAGTAAATGTTCAAATGTTTTTGTAGGTATTAATACATATATTTTTCTAAGTTGTATTTGATATTTTTAGAAATATATACAGTATGTTAAGTTTCCCACAAAACCTTTGAGAATACCGGGAGAATTAATAATTCCACAAAACATCTAAATCCAGTAACGATTTTTTACATAAATTGCAGAAAGAATTATACAATATATACCCGAAAGAAAGCATCATATCACAAGCAAGAAAAACTGTTTATTTATAAGATTCTTCAAGACATTGGTCTTTATAAGGGCTGACATATAAGGTCACTAAAAGACACGATATTTTTACTTTGATGGTTAATGGAAAAGAAAAGAATATATCTCTAGATTGAATCAAACCTAAAGATTAATAAACAACAAAGAAATAAATCTACACTCAAGAAACCACAAGAAAATGAAACAAAAGAGGGAGAGTCGCACAATAAAGAATAGGGATACACACACCAAGATATGACAGAAAAGTAAAATTTAGAATAAATTTATTTTCCTTCTTTTTGTATCACTATCACTAAGGGGGAGTAATGTACAGCATATTTATTTATGTAGCACTTACAAAATGTAAAATTCCAAATAGTAGTGTATATCTAATCTAACACAAACAATTGTAGGAGTTAAAAACAATATAAAATAAATTAAAAAATATATATATAAAATATTAAAAAAGGAAGAATAACACACGGAACCATACGAGTAAAACTTAGACATTCAGGAGTTGCAAGTCCTTTTTCAGCCCCAAAATATTACAATTAAATATGTCACAGTCCGAGTAAAATTTGTTATAGATCTTGCATAAGCGATCAATAAATGCACTTTGTCCGTAATTGGTTCTGTGTCTTTTTACATTGAAAAGTAATGTGTGCCAAGTCCATCGGACAGGTACCAATAGTTTAACTCTCTCAAGCAGTGACCCGCACTTGATAAAACCACTTATTAATTTAGCCAGGAATAGTAGTAAAGCAGTTTTCTTCTGCATTCCAGGCTCTACATACTGCAAAGAATTAATCTTATTTGATATGGCTATGTAATATGTGTTTAAAGAGCAGGTATTTTACGAATTTACGTTGCACCCTTTCAATTCTATTGATATGACAGGTTTAAGTAGGTTGCCAAATAATAGAACAGTATTCCAGAACACTTCTCACCAGTCCATTGTAAAGTATCATGATTGCTTTTGTGCATTCACATACCTAGTATGTCTCTTGATGAAGCCAAGCATTCTGAGGGCTTTGCATACTATGGAATCTATATGGTTGTTAAAAGATATCATATCAATAATAATGCCCAGATCAATAACTGTCGAGGATCTATCTAGGTTGACACTGTCAATACTGTAACAGTTAAGGGTAGGATTGTGGGATCTTGTTAAATACATGGTTGTCCACTTGGGAATATTTATAGAAAGAGCGTTATTTTTACACCAGGTAGCAAACCTGTTTAGGTCAGACTGTAATGCGGAGTTATTACCAGTGTTTCTACTAAAAAACTTTAAATCATCCCCGAAAAGAAAGCATTGGCTATTAAAAAAGCAGGACGTAACATCATTAAAGAATAAGGAAAACAATAGGGGACTTATATATATGAACCTTGAGGAACACCGTCACATAATAGGGAATTATGCACTATGACATGTTGACACTGATTACTCAAATAAGATTTAATCCAGTAAAAATAAGAACCAGAGATACCGATTTCGGAGAGTTTCTTGAATAGCAATTCATGACAGACACTGTCAAAAGCTATTGACAGATCAGTGTAGATGGTGTCAACCTGGTAACCATTTTCAATTGAATAAAAAGTCTTGATAGATTGCAGGATTAGTTGATGTCGAGAGACCTTGATAGAAGCCATGTTGTTGAGGTGAGATATAGTTTTTATATGTGTAAAACATTTCATGTGTTATTATGGATTCAAATATTACCGATATAATGGAAATACCTCTATAATTCTTTATATCACTTTTATCACCTTTCTTGTAAACTGGCATAAGCTGGGAAAACTTCCAAGCAGATGGAAATATTCCACTACCAAATGGTTTTTGGAAAATTTGGCTAAGTGGAATTGACAAGGAGTCACAGCCCCCTTCAAAAACGACGGTGGTACCCCATCGGGGCCCACAATTTTACTAGAGTCAAGACTTTTTATTTTAAAAGATAAGAACATAAGTTCGAGAATGACGTTCTCCTTAAGAATCAAAGTTAGAGTGTTGAAAATAATTTTCAATCTTCACTATGTCCCTTTTGATATAATTCAATGCCTGTTGCGTTATTAGCCAAAAGAGTAGTTGTTTTCAGGAGGAAACAGTTGCTCAACATTTATGTGACAGATACTTTGAGATTTTTCTTTTGTTTATTTTTAAATAGTTAGTACTTTCAAAAATAAGCCAGCATGTATTATCTACTTACCAAGTAAAGTCGAATAACCAATTAGCATATCTTCTTCAGGTCTCATATTTATAGAAATGTTGGTATTTGTAGCTTGAGTGGATTGCCGAGTAGGAAAAATAGAATCTGTCTCTGTTCTGAGTTCATGTTTAATGGGGATTTGAATTTCTTTACCTCTAAAAATGATTTGATTTAATTCATATACTTGTGAATAATCAAAAATTTTTCAATAAGTCTTTTGGTAAAAATACATTTTAGATTAAATATTAAGTAGATATTAATTACCTGCAAACTGGAAAAATCATGACTTTTGGTTTGGACCTCCAACTCTTACATTTTTCATTGGAAAATATTTTTTGAATTTGAGTAACACGCACATAGTTGTCATTTACATTTTCATCGACTCCATATATTATTGTATCATTGTTATCTTCTCCTCCATGGCTCATTATAATGATAAAGCATATATCATATAAATAATTAATTTGACTGTCAGCAAAATTTTTTATTATCATATGCATCTCCTAAAAAATAATTTCACATAGTTTCAATGCAATAATACTTTAACACGTTAAGCGTCACAGTATAATCTCAAAATCCGGTAGTGTGAACCGTCCGGTTATTGACCACGTCCCAGTAAATGACCAATATTTACTGATTTATGATTTATTAATAATTTTTAATAACCTAAGGCATCATATTATATAACAAATTGATCCTCACCTAATTTTCAATTTTTTTTATACATTTGACAACACTGCTCATAATCGGCAGTTTACAAATGTCAGTTAAAAGTGCATGTTTTTGTTTCCTTCTCAAGTAACCACAAGTAATTAAGATAAGTAGAGTTAAGTGTTTTTTATTTTGTAAAAAAATATGTATTGGACCAGAGATAACCAGGAGATGTAACTATTAACAAATATCGTGCGGCCGTGAATAAGACATATTCTAAGGGACACAGTAGGGTATAATCACAATATATTGTGGGTATAATATCCGCTGTTGTCATTGTTAGTAAAGTGTATGTATTAAAATATTCGCTCAAGAAAACGATTCACCTCCCACTCTTTTGTCACATAGCTGAATTTTTCACAGATGAAAGGTAACCCTTTTTCCGGAGTTAATACAAAATTAGATTGTGCAGAAGGGCACTATCATCAAAAATCCAGATATTGATACCACCGAATAGAGAAAAAAATACTAATTTTTTGGTCAAATGCACAATAAAATCTTTGTAGGGAGTAATTGTTTAACTTATTTAAAAAAAAATCATTTGCATTAGCACTTACGACCGAAAAAAAATATAAACGTAAATATCTTGATTTTAGCCCTTCAAAAATTTAGTTAAAAAGTCGTCTTTTTTAAATATACCACTCATTTAACAAAAAACGAAGGCCTAAATGAAAAAAAAACATTCTTTATAAAATTTTTGCTTATGTGTTGAGAAGGTAACAAAGTAAACACTATATTTTTTGCTTTTGAATTAACAAAGATATAACAATAAACGATGAGAGATGTCATAGGTTTATGCTGTAATTAATTCTCACCGTCAAATTTATCGACTCTCAGTGTATCTTTATCTTCACCTTCAAACGTAGCATACTTAGCTCTGTTTCTCTCTACGTGCGGGCTGATGTATCACATTATTGATATGGTAGGATTTTTCATTTTTTTTATTATAAAACTGCTTGTTATGTTCCATAGGGCAATGTGTCATATTGTTATCTGTTTTTACTAAAGAATTAATAAGTGTATTTGTTATATATTAAATTACCTAATAAATTGGGAAAAAATTTAGACATTTTTGCATCTTTATTATATCTACATTCATCCTGTTGCAGCTAAATATATTTGGGTAAGTTATAAGTTTTCGTTTAAAATTTTAATTACGGATTTGTTGCTGCAAGTAGCAGAGACAAAAATTATATCAAAATAGGAAAGCCCAAAAGTTGCATATCATTTAAAGAATATGCTCATATATTTGTAAACATTATTTTTAGAAATAAATTTAATGCTCAAATGATAGGTGTGGTATTTGATCATTATAAAGGACATTCTATCAAAAATACAACACGTCAAAAGAGAGGATTTCAGAAATAAATTGATATAGAAATTGACCGACCCAATATTCCACTTCCGCAACAATAGAACTTGTTTATTCATTAGATATTTAACAAAAGACGTTTAACACATTTTCTGCCAGAGCAACTTCTTCAAAACTCCATTCAGCAAAAGCATATTCAATTTCTAACTAGTGGTGGATTCGCGAAAATCAATAAATATGGAAAGAATTTTGAACCATCAAAAGACGATTTTTTTAAATTCAAATCACGAAGACGCTAATAATCGTATCTCATTGCACATATTGTCAGCCAAAAATTCGGTGCATTCACGCTGCATTATTTATTGCAACGATACAGATGTCTTATTAATTTATTTTAAGAAGTTTTTGACTAAAGATATATGGTTCAGAACAAGGCGAGGAGACTCAAGACGATTTCTAGCAGTACATTATTTAAATTTGGATGAAAACCTTCTAAAAAATATGCCTGCTTTTCATTCTGACCGGTTGTGATACAACCATTTAATTGTCCGGCATTGGGAACAAAACCTGTTGGAAAACTTACCTTGAAAACCATTACTTTTTGGATGGATTTGGCACTGATCAGTACTTGAAAACATATTCTCTAATCTTGAAAGAATTTTCCTAAAAATGTATTCAAAACTGCCAATGTTACTTTCATTAACATTTTGAGGGGATTATTGACCTCTTCAAAAACCATCGCTAAATTACCACCGACTGAAGACGCCCTAAGACTACATTGTTTAAGATGTTTTTAACAGCTAAATATTTGGCTAACCTCTTTAAACCCAGATGCAGCTTCCTAATGTTGAAGAGTATGGATGGAAAGTAGATCAAGATGGAAGTCTGATACCCACTTTTAAGACTCTGCCCGACCTGCCACCAGACATAACAGAACTTACATCATGCAAATGCAAAAAACATACTAAACAATATTCTAACAATAATATTCTGTTCTAGACTGTGGAAGCAAAATTTGCAAATGCAGGAAAAAAAATATTTACTGTAACGGTTCCTGCACCTGTATGGCACAGAAAAACTGCAGAAATAGTTTGACCACAGCCGCTAATGTTTTGGAAAATGTTGATTCGTGTGGTGAATCTGATTCTGATTAGTTTGAAAGTCTTGTAATTATAAATTTTAATATTATTAATTTATGCTTTATATACTTCCTTCCAATTATTATTATTATTATAATTTATTTATATTGGGGATTTATTGTATTTTGCAAAGCAATAGCCTTACTGTTTATAATTGATACTTCAATAAATAGTTTATATTTTCTTATTTTCATTTTACATTAAAAATAAAAAATAAATATTGAAGTAATTATTAGTACACCCTATTAAACATGGTGGATAAATCAATAATCCCTGTATAAAATAATATAAGAGGGGTCAAACTGATTGCATACATTTTAATACTGAGATAGATGCATAAAGAGTCGATAAGCTCTGCCTTTAATGTTTGCTTTCTAGTAAAACCATGACATCACTAATGGTTTATTGCTATATTTTTGTTAATTTAAAAGCAACAAATATGAGGAAAGTACTTTTACCTTGTCAATACATAGGCGAAACTTTTATAAAGAATAGTTTTTTTTCATTTAGGCCTTCGTTTTTCGTCAAATGAGAGGTATATTTCTAAAAGAAGATTTTTTATACAAATTTGTAGACGGTTGAAACTGAGACATTTAAATTTTTTTTCGATCATAAGGGCTAATTTAAATGATTTTTTTCAAATAATTATAAAAAAATACCTCCTACAAAGACTTAATTGAGCATTAGAACAAAAAATAGGCATTTTTAACCAAATTAGATGTAATTTCATTAAATTAGATGTAATAATTTTCAACAAATTCCAAAACCTAGTGATGTTAGATTGGAAGTGGCAACAGGGCTTACACCGGCAAGAAAAGTTACGTTAAGTAGTAAACGCTCGGGCAGTTATTCATTGATAAAACTATGTAAAATTCTTCACTGTATCCCTTCTTTTACTTCTCACCTTTCGTCGCCTCGCCCCGCGTATAGAAATAGAATGTTTTGAGTGCGAACTGTTCTTGGCTCCATGAATATTATATTTTATGAATGACTTCTTATATCTCTGTTATCTCTGTATTGGACTAAACTGCATGAAACAAGATCAAATTTAGTATTTTTTAGGCTGTAATATTAATATAACCTCAAAAAGCATTTATTTTTTAAATGGTCAATAATAGGTAATGTTAAAGCTGAGAAATTCAGTGAATGACCGAATGTGGTCATTTACTGGGTTGGCGGGAACTTTAAAATAAGTTGTTTTGATAATGTACTTTAATCACTATATGGATGCTTCTTTTATGCAAGCATTGTAAATAATGAGGGAATCGACTGGCCTATAGATGACCACTCTTATTATCTAAATGCTCTTCTGGTCATTCACTGGATATTTAGCCTAGTCAATGACTTTTTGCTGTTCATATATTAAAATATTATTTGTGCAATAAAGCAATTGTGTAACATTTATTTTCAGATTCCATTAGAGATTGGATTCCCTAGACTTCAAACTCAGTCTGCCTTAACAGAAAATCTATTCATTGTTCAAAATTTACTTGTTGTAATCATAAGGGATTACAAGAATACTGGCACATCGGAATGGTAGAATACTTACAGTCAAACCACAAGTGAAGAAGCACCCAATAGAGCATATAAAATATTTAAGTATTTCATTGAAGATCTAAAAGCTGCAGTGACAGAAGTCCAAGAAGGAAGAATTAGTGCTACTAAAGCCAGTAAACAATTTAAAATTCCAAAAAGGCACTTTAATTAATAAACTGCATGGAAAATCCGATGTTTCAGTAAAAAAGATGGGCCACCAAGAATCTTGACTGCTCAGGAAGAAGATATGTTGGAGAATTGGATAATCCAAAAAGCAAAAATTGGGTTTCCTGTGCATCTAGATGAAGTGAAAGATGCCGTACAAAAGGTAATGGAAGAAACCCAGAGTCCTAATCCATTCAACAACAACTGTCCCGTTGATAAATGGCTAAAAGAATTTTTAAAAGTAAAGCCAGATATTGGGGAAAGAAATGCTGAAATTATTTCCAAAGCTAGAGCTAGCGTCACTGAGCCAGATATCAGAAAGTGGTTTCAGGATCTTAAAAGTTATTTAATAGAAGAAGATGCTGTTGATGTTCTTGAAGATGCTGATCGGGTCTATAATGCTGATGAGATTGGAGTGCAATTATGCCCCAAAACAGGAAAGGTGCTAGGGCCAAAACATTTTAGATGTTGCTGTCAGAAAAGAAAAAGAGTGCCTGACTGTATTAGCAAATTTTTCTGCTAGTGGAAAAGTAGCTCCAACACTTATAATATATCCATACAAAAGAATACCTAGAGACATTGCTAACTCTATCCCTGATAATTTTTATATTGGTCGAAGTGATACAGGTTGGATGGTTGGTCCTACATTTGTTTAGTATGTGGCGAATAATTTCTATCCAGAGCTGTTAGATAATAACATAAAGTTGCCTGTTTTTCTTCTGCTAGATGGACATAAGTCACATATCAGTCCTGAACTAGCCACTTTTTGCCAGGAAAAAAGAATTATTTTATATTTTCTATTACCAAATGCTACACACATATTACAACCAAGTGATGTTGGTATCTTTAGACCTCTAAAAGTATCCTGGAGGAAGCAGTGTCAGAAATATAAACAAGAAACAAGAAAATCTCTAACCAAAGTATCTTTGCACCTATTTTTGCACAAGCATTTAAAAATGCCAGTAAAATTGAAACCATACAAAACGCCTTCAGGGCATGTGGCATATTTCCATTTAATGCAAATAATGTTGATTTTTCAAAATGTATGAATACTCGTCAGGCAGCACTAAAAGAAGATAACAATAATGTAGAGAGTAATCAGAGTGGAATTGATAAAACAAAAATTTTTAAAAATTCTTGAAAGTGAAATTTCCCCAGAGACCTTAAAAACATACAGAGAATGGAGAAAAGCACAAAAAGTTTTAAACAATGATAAATTATTTAAATTATGGAAAAGATATGCAGAAAATCAAGACAACCCCAATGAAGAAAATGGCGAGAATTATATTGCATTAGAAGACGAAAGAAAAAATATGAAAAATAATGTTCTAATAATGATGGACACAGAAACTGATGATTATCAGGAAGTTGAAGAAATTAAAAATGTAGATGATATAAATAAAGAAAATCAAGAAAGTGCCCCGGAGATTACCCAAAAAAATGAAAATATATGTGAACAAATTGAGGAAGAAATGGAACATGTAGAAAACCAAGACAATACTCAAAATAAAAGCATCCAAATTGAAAATCAAAATGAAACAAAAAGAAACACAATTGGATTTAAATTTTAGCTCAAAAATATCTCTTAAAGTCCAAGATTCCTGGAAGGAACGCTTACCCTTTCCAAAGTTGGAAATTGCCAATAAAAAAAGTGTTAAAGAAAAAGCCCCTTTGGCAATAACTTCCAAATATTGGAAAGAATTTCATGAGAAGAAAGAAAAACAAAAAAGAATTGCTGAAGAATTAAAATAGACTTGAAGAATTAAACAAAAATAAAGAAAATAGACCAAAAAAGTTAAAGAGAAGAGAATCTTCTTCAAGTTCAAGTGATTCGAATATTTGAGAAGAAAAATCTTTAGAGGAAATTGAACAAGAAAACCAGGATGAAAATGAAATCAATGAATCTATGCCAGCAACTACATTTACCATTGCTGATTTCGTGATTGTCAAATATGAGAACAGTTATTTTCCTGGTGTTATATGAAAACAAAGAGGAGAATATGAAGTGCGAGTCATGTGTAAAACTGCACAAAATTGGAAATGGCCAGAAAAAAATGACCAAATATGGTATAAAGAAGAGGATGTCATTAAAAAGATTGAACCACCAAATGTGTATTCAGTTCCTGAAATGGAAAAGTATGAAACACTGCTTTAATTTTTTTAAACCAAGTATTTATGTTTTCTTTTAGACAATAAAGTAGTTTTGTAGTCATTTACTGGTATTTTATTCGGTCAATTACTCAAAGGAACTGGTCATTTACTAGGATTTTATGCATTATATCTTAAAAATTATCAAATATTTTAAACAAATAAACATGTTTACATTTTTATGTTAAAAAAGTTAAATTAGTAAACAAATTCATCCAACTATTCCTTGCTTTTTCTTTTAAAAACAAAACGAACATTTTTACAAATATGTATAATATATCACTGTTGCCTAAGGTAGTCATTAACTGGACGGTTCACCCTATACTGGGCCAAACGGATCACATAGCCAGATAGAACTGTCAGCAGTGAGACATAGGATGTATGAATTTAACTTACAGAAGCAGTCTTATTATTATGATGATCCAAATCCCAACCACCCATCTGGTTGAATAACTTCTTTAAATTTTCGTCATCTACTTTAGCTCCATTCCTGTATGGATGATCTTTATGGTTAAACTCATAATTATTAATAATTAAAACCCTTCCTCTCTTCTTTGATCTAGATTTGTAGAAATCTATGTCACCATTATAGTCAAGAGTATCATAGAAACTATCAGAATACTTAACATCAATTTTAAGAGGGGTAGTTGAGGGGTCTATTGACAGTAAACTTAAATCTACTATGCTGGGTTCTCCAGAGTCTTCATCAGGTGATGGTTGATTAAAAACAGTAGCTCCTCTTCTTAGTAACAAGTCAACAATATTATCTTGATGAGTTTCTCTTAAGGATTCTAACAATGGAATAAAACTATTGACTTTATCTTGGACTCTAAAGAAGAATACTCTTTTATTGTGTCTTGCATCATTTGACTGCAAAAATAAATATTAATTTTAGGAAATTAAAATCATAAATATTAAAATCATACCTTAAATATTTCGTTTATTTCTTTTTCTGTAAAAATTCCTTTGTCTATCAATGGTTTCTTGAGCCTTTCTACATCACATTTTTTCATCAAGTTGACGAAATTTTTAACAATCAAGTCTTTACACTCCTGGTTCATATTTAATTCATAAATCAATGCTGTTGAAGTAACTCGAAAACAACAATTAAATAAGATAAGGGGAATGTAAAGGAAAATATCAATAAAATTTAAACACCCTTTGTTTGGTTGGAATACTTTTAAAAAACAAAAACAAATATTTTGACATTTGAGATATTACTAATTTTTCCTCTTTTAATTTTTTTACGACCTCTATCGTAATAAGACATAAGTCCAACCAAATTAACCCGTAGCTGTATATCTTATATACAAAAGATCAATATATGTATAACTACTGCTTTTAAATTTAAAACGATATTGGGTCCTATGATTGAACGTTTACGTTATCCGTAACGTACATGTTAGGCTCAGTTTTAACAGTAATTAGGCAAGATCGTATGATGAAAAACCGTTTTCAACACATTACTGTTATTTTCCGCCTGTTATGTTCTAATTTAACAGTTTTCTATCATACAAACTTGCTTCATTACTGTTAAAATTCGACTTAACATGTACGTTATGGATAACATAAACGTTCAATCATAGGACCCATTTTGTGTAGTTTCCAATTTTTTTTTTTTATTTTGCTTCTGTGTATTACGTGTTATTTTATTTAAAAAATCATCACTGTCACTGATCGCCGAGACAATATTTGTTTTATTTTGAAGTTGGAAGACTGTTTTCTGTGGCTTTAGGTTGGCATGTTGAGTTGGCGAAACTGGCAGTTGGTTGGTGTTGGTGATTTTTGGTACGTCAGACGCATGGAGGAAGGATAATTAAGAGTTGCAGTTTCTTTGAAGAAATATGGCAACACGTTTGCTTGCAGCGCCACCGGTAAGGGATTTGTCCAACTATTTCTCAGTCGGTAATATAGATACCTGCATATTTTATTTTATTTAAAAATTAGCGGGATTTTGTTTGTGGCTCTACTTTAATTAGTATAACTAAAATTTTGCATTTTTACTGGCATTTTTTACAACACAGACAAGGTGCAAGATGTAACAAAATGCCAATCAAAATGTAAAATTTTATGACCCATAATTTTAGGAAGGGTAGAGGTAAAATAATTTAATATAAAATAATTGTATTATCTATTATATCATTAAAACTAATTTATAATAAATTTTCTAAATAAACAATATTTTAATAAAACAACTAAAACTTTCTGTAAACTTGGGTAGGTAACAAAACACATTAAGGAGAACCATCCATATAATCTGAAACAGAAAAAATTCAAAGTAGTATTTTAACTTCATATCATTTTGAATCACTTTTTTCTTTTAGACATTGTCACAGTTTTATACTTTCATTATAATATTTTATAATTAATAATGGTAGTCCCTTCATCTTTTAATTAGATGTAGTACTTAAAAAAAAAACAAACAGATGTCTGCGGGGTCAAGCTTTGAGGTCCTTCTTTGATTCGCAAATTTTACTTTGCTGTTTTCTAATTATAAACTAGAGTTTTTTCTCCCTTGGAGCTAACCATTCACTGGATTGATTTAAAAATCCAAGAGCTAATTATTGTTTTTTAGGTAATAATTATATTTCATTGGATGAAATTTTAATCGAATGTAACTTTCTTTTCACTGGTAATTTGTTTGACAGTATGATAACAATATTACTTTAGTATTACTCTTTACTGTTAATTTAGCTTTCAAGGGTACCAAAAGGTAATGCGAATTTACAGTCTTGTAACCTATAAATGGTTTTTCGCAAGTGGAATGATGAAGTTTATGCGGCATCATTTAGTTCCTTGCTTAATATCGGAAGGAAATAAAAAAAATCTGTTCTTAAAATGTACAACATAAATTGGACAGTAAATTGTACTATTTACCTTTATACAAACAACGCTATTACAATTAGATATTATGAATTAATTATGAACAGGACCTGCTAAACACATGTTAAAACATCAAAATATCTTTGCTTAATTTTAAATTTAACATGTTTAACTAAAACTAAAATAAAATAAAATTAAATAAAAGTACTTACCACGTTTTATTCAGCAACCATAACCATATTGTTTTGTTCGGTTTTGTTATTAGGCTTGTTCGGGTTTCCTTAAAACTCGATGCAAACCGTCCGAGAACTAGTGGAACAGTTCATTTCTAAAGTATACGTCGCACACAACTATTAAACTGTCCACTGGTCAACTAGTCCTCTGATAGTTTTCAATGTATTTTAAAGAACCCGAACAGACCTATTGTATCGGTTCGAACGGGTGACAATCCCAAAGTCAGATTTACATTGTACAAATAATTGATTAATTCATATTTTTCAAATAATTGTAGTATTTATATAAATATATAATTTTAAAACAATACTTACCGTGTATTACTTTTGTTATTAAGCGAAATATATTTGAATTATTCAATTATTCAGTGTACTTTAAATTTAAATATCATTTTATTATTGTAAAACGGACTGATATGCGCGGATGTGTTGCGCACTAACCTGTTGATATAACGCGCATATGTTATAAGCCCCCCTGGTCAGACGGTGGTCAGACGTCAGTCGGTGTTAAAAATTTTACAATGATTTTCCAAATTTTCCCAATTTCTTTAATATTTCTTATATTTCCTTTTATAATAAGTGCACAATCACAGTGGAATACGAGAGATTTTATGAAAAGGGAACATTCACTAATAAAACCATATTATGGTAAATATTTTAAGGTTATAGTTTGTAAAATATCCAAATTAATTTACATTTTCTTTTAGGTTCGGGAATAGATATCCCTTTTTGGCAGTTTACGGGAACTACAATAGTCACCCCCAACTATATCAGACTCACAGATGATTCACAAAGCCGAAGTGGAGCAATTTGGAACACTGTGGTATGAGGAAATTTTTTACATTTGAACCTTGTAATCTGATAAGCATTGCTAATTAACTGCTATTTATAGCTAGGTAATTATGTTTTTCATTTTTTAGCCCGTAAATAGTAGAAATTGGGATATACAAGTTCATTTTAAAGTACATGGTAAAGGTAAAGATTTATATGGGGATGGTTTTGTTATTTGGTATGCAAAAGATCATCTTATAGACGGACCTGTTTTTGGCAGCAAAGACTACTTTCTAGGTCTAGCAGTTATTTTAGACACCTACAGTAATCATAATGGCCCTCACAATGTAAGTTTTGTAATTGAAATTGGAAATTGTGTGGGTAAAAGTTGATTTCAATGTTATATTAATTTTAGCATCAACATCCATATATTTCTGCTATGATAAATAATGGTAGCTTATCTTATGATCATGACAGAGATGGAACTCATACACAGTTAGCTGGTTGTGAAGCTAAATTTAGGAACTATGATCATGACACTCACATTTCAGTGAGATATGAAAAAGATGTTTTAACAGGTAAAAAGTTAAAGTGATTTAAGTAACCATAGCATGCAATAAGTTGCTGTTATTCTTAGATATCTGATAAAAATGTTAAGATATTTCATTGTTAAATTCTTTATCAATTTTTAATATCAACACTTTTCAAAAAAATAGATAAGCTGGACCAAATTAGCAGAATGCAAACAAGTTTCATTTTTAAAATGATTTTGATGATTCAAGATTTAAGTTTTTTTGTATGTGGCAATTTAGAAGGTGAAAAAATAGCATTAATAGTTTGAACTTTTTTATTTTGGTTCTCTGGCATAATTTATTAATTTATTGATGCTCTTAAAACTGCAATGAGTACAATTTTGTTTTCGTGCAAATTAGTGTGAAATAAAAATATTCACATTTGATTTTTCTGATTTGGTATTCAGAGCTAAAACATACTTGAAGTTTTTAATTTTTGAATGATATTTTAACAATTCCTTGATATTTATTAGACAGACAGAACAAAAATGCTTTTGAAATACATATACTTTTTTATTAATGCTCTAAGAATATAAACAATCTGATTCCTAAGGACATTTAGCTCCTGCAATGTTCTTGTACAGAAAACTTCTGTAAGTCCACTACCCATTTTAATAGTAATTGGAAAAAATAAATAAGTATTGAAACCAAAGATTTGCCTTTAAATTAATTTTTTTATTTTGTAATCAAAGTTGATAATTTTTATTAGATTTATGGTTAAAATACATACACACAAACATATACAGGGAGTCCAGAAGCTTTCATGTAATTCTAGAGATTATTTCAATTTCAGCCAAATTTTCTTATAAAACGCATATTTAATTGAGTTGCAGTTTTTTGAAGATGACAAGTTTCTTCAAAATGCTTTAATAAAGAAAAAAATTAATATATATGATTTTGTTTAATGTGATCATGTGTTTCAATTGTAAATATGAATCTTATATTTTTAGTTTCACTTTTTGACCATTTTTGAGACACTTTTACTTTTTCGGTGCATCAATAAATTCTTCAATATTACTCATGCCTTGCCAATAATGACAAATCAACAAAATAAAACCTGTGCAAATGTCAAAATATTCTTTTGTCAGTTAATGTTTTCTTATGAACTTAAAACTTTTTAATTTATTAATAAAAAAAATGATGCCATCTTAAGGGTCTCGAGTTTCCTTAGGAAACACTTTTGTTCCAGGTGATTTTGCTCATATTGATACAAAATTTAGAATTCAAAGTTTTAATTTTTCAGGAAAGCTTCTGGACTATTTATATTTGTACATGGCCCTTAATACAAAGGTTCTGTTAACTTTAATTTAAAATATTTTTCAGTTTCCACTGATGTAGAGAACAAAGCTGCTTGGAAAGAATGTTTCCAAGTAAAAGGAGTAAAATTGCCAACTGGCTATTACATTGGAGCTTCTGCTACAACTGGTGACTTGTCAGACAGCCATGATATCATGTCTGTCAGGTTTTTCGAATTGGATTTAGATAATGATGTAAGTTAACAAATTGGTTTCTTAGAAAATGTATTCCAATTTTACAATGGCCGTGTTAACCACCAGCAAAAAGTTTCGTTTGATTAGGAATCAAACGTTTCTAGGCTTTGTGTAAACAGTTGTGATGATGGTGAACAAACAACGGACAGTGTTGAAATTTAAAATAATTTGTCATATGTTTATAGATAGATAATTTATCCTGAAAGATAATTTACATGATATAATAGGAAGTGTCACAATATATAATACAAATAAAGACAAGAACTAAAAAAAGTGTAGTGGGACTTGAAAACATTAATTTCACGAAAATTTCTTCAATTGGTTACTATTTCAGTCACTATGTTTTTAATTGAGAGAGGGAGATGATTTAATAGGCGTACACCGATGTATTGTAGATTTATTTCATATAAAGCTGAAGCATGTTTTGGAATATGTAATTGGTTTCCACTTCTAGTAGGATAATGGTGGGTGTCTAAGTTACAGGGAAATTGTGAAATATTTTGTTTCATATACATAAGAGTTTTAAATATAAAAATTGAAGGAAAAGTAAGTAATTTATATAATTGTTTGTACTTTAAATAAACCTAGAATCATTTATTATTCCAAACATTTTCAGTCAGGTATTGAAATTATTTTATGATAAAATATGTTAAGACACATTTTACTTCAACTTGCACAAGAACCCTTACTTTAGTTCACATTTGGCCTATTTGACAAAACCAAATGCAAAACGAACATTACAAATCACAAAACAACTGTCAAATGTAAACTTTGATTGTTAAATGCAGAAGCGATTTTAATTTGCGCTTTTACGTTTTAACAAACTGTTTAAAAAAAGCTGTTTTCGAGTTTGCTCCTTCACCGTCACCGATTCGTAATCGTAAGAAACCGTTTGATGGCGGTGAATGAGCCCAATGTTACCTTCAACGGTGCAAGAGAGAGGTCCGACACGCCTACATAGGGCGCGGCCATTTTGATTCCTATGCCACAGTTTATAGCTAAAGAATCAGACCGCTCATTCTGCGTCGGCACTTTTGATCTCAATGTTCCAGTTTATACACTGCGCAACTCGGATAATACAATATATGACAACTGCCTATAATAAAACAGCAGTTTTCTGCGTTTCCTGAATTTGTATCCCTGGAGTGGATGTTATTTTGGAACTTTCAACTGGTCCGAGTGAGCTAACTGATTCTTTAGCAATAAACTGTGACTCCAAAAATAATATTTACTGACACTGACAGCAGCAAGCAAAATATCAGGTGCGTTTTAATCATCCGCTTCTGCTTCCGGAATTGTCGGTTTAGTCGTTTTAACCTGTCAGATTAAAACAAGAAAACCGACAATTCCGAAGCAGAAGCGGATGATTAAAACGCACCTATTAAAAATATTGCGCCAAGATGTAGGCAACACGTAATAAGGGATCAAAATGGCGGAGTTTTCTATCTCCTTTTAAAAGGCACTCAGAAAGCTGCGCAGTGCGACCATTCTCCGTATAGTAAAATAAAATCAAAGTATGTGCCTTCAACCCATTGTTAGAACCTCTATAAAATGCCTAACAAATAATGATTATTTTAAGTTGGTACTGTACAATGACGTATGATAGTTGACATTATTATTCATTGTTCTGTGTGAAGCCCACTGTTAAGATGTGTTGCTAATACAATAAAACTTAAATACTGATTTATTTAAATAATCCTGAGTGGATAACTAATCTGTGTGTCTCCAGTATCAACCCTCGGCCAAGTTGATTACACCATGATCATCTTTTTTTGCAGGAGGATGCAGCTGAAGATAGATCCAAAATAATTCCATCAGCTTCCTACTTTGAAGCACCCAGAGAACACATAGATGATCCTAAACCTGGAATGTCTGGTGTTAAATTATTCTTTCTCATGCTACTCGGAAGTATCGCTATTGTAACTTGTGTCGTTTTAGGAATAATGTTTTACCAAAAACAACAGGAAAAAAGTAGAAAGAGGTTCTATTAGTTATTTATTTATTTATTAGTTTTTTAAAATTGAAAATCGGTGATTGTAATGTTGCCATTTTTGTCATCCTGTAGGGAATTGTTGCAACAAATCTGCCAACTATTACTTGTCACATTATCAGCTGTCACTTGCAACTCAAAAATTTTAATTTGATAATAATTATATTTTATATTACAGGAAAAAAAATTAGGTAAGAAATATGGGATACCAATAGTGATTTTTCTATTTTTTTAATAAAAAAAAGGGGATTGGTTTAATTATAAGGGACAGGATGACAGAATATGCTTATAGGTATAAATAAATATTTTGTTAATATTTTTTCGACTGATATTTATAATTTTTATTTGTGTGACTTGAAAAAATAGTGTTGGGAGATTTTGTTTTTCATCAACATCTATACATAAACAATAATACCCTCCATTTCTCAAAAATAAAGCATTCTTGATAAAATGTCAATAATTAAACATATTTAAAAAATATTTGGTTATATACAGGGAAAAATTCAATAGTAAAGTACTTTTAAATTCAAAGACAGGAAAGAAAATTATTTTGTAACAATTTTTAATATTTTATTTTTTTTATATATTTATTAATCTGTGTTTAACATCAAATATTTTTGAAATGGCATGCTAATATTTCTTCAATAGACACAGCTCCGTAGAAGAAATATCACTAAATTTTCAAGTCATCTATTTTCATCACTTTTATAACGTAATTTTTAATACGTAATTTATTATCTATAATTTTTTTACTTCCGCGTGGTTTTCATCTTTTTTTTTTCTATACTATCTATAAAAAAACGCCATTGCATTGATAGAGTGTATTGTTTATTTTGAACAACAGTACATTTATAAAAAAAGTATTTAATATTCTTAAAATCGATAAGTGACTGAAATGCAAAGCCAAAACAAATTTTGGCACTCTGGTTTTAGTGGGTTTCAACAATTGTGAAATTCAAAGGTTTTTTTTAGAATTTTCAACCAAAATTTTAAAAAGTATTCAAAACTAATTTATAAGTATTCGTTATTTAGTAAGCCCCCTAATAAAATTTCACAATTATTGTAACCCACAGTCGATTAACACTAAGTTTGTCAAAATTTTGTAAATACATATATCAACAAATAAAATGTGATTTGTAAATAAAAATAAACTCTTTTTTTAAGTATACTTGACTAGTACATTCATTTTATAATAGTTTTTTAATTCCGATAGGAATAAACTTTTATAAGTACTAAAAAAAAATTAAAACACTTGTACATGCACATAACGTTTACATATATATCTAAATATCAATCGGGAAACATTGAACATTTAATATACAGGGAGTTCACAACAAAAACAGTCTATTTTAAATGCATCAAGTGTTAATACATTAATAATATGTGCCATTAATCATACATATTTTCGGCAGGAATACTTATTTATACGAAACTAAGTATTCACAACAAAAAATAGGTTATTATTAATATTATTAAATACCCTTTATATATTGTGCTATTTATTTATATATTTTTATTAATATTAACGGCACTCCCGCTTTTTTTTTGGTAAGAACACCCTGTTTTACACAAAACATTTATAAATATCTATTAAAATAAATAGGAAACTCAAAACAACTTAGGAGAACGATACATAACTAGACAAATCTTAGGAACAACCAATGATGGCATAGTATATTTATTTTATGTTTTTAAAGCACCATTCCTATGTTTAGTTTTTTTTTTTTTAATACAAACACAGCCGAATAATGTTAAAATTAATTAATTGAACACTGTTTTTAACTTTAATTTGAAAAACATTTTATTTTTAAAACTCTTTTAGTTAGAAATTAGAACTTAACCGTTTTATTGTAAAAAAAAAAAGTTTAGGCAAGAATTATGCTTTTCTGAGTACAATAATATGAGAATTATTTTCATATTTAAGACTTTGATTGTATCATTTAGAATTTGACGAATAAATTCATAAGCAGAGCTGGGCAGAGTACTGCATTAAAGTACTCTTAAGTATCTTGAGTATGAGTACTTTAATGAATAATACTTAAAACAAATGACTACTTTTGGAAATTTTAGTACTTTTAGTAACGAGTATGATTATTTCAAATAATTCCAGTTAGTAACTAAATAAAAATGTAGACTAGAGTCTGATTGTACCAGGTGTTCCATTAAGAATTTTAAGTAATGACGCTATATAGATGAAAAAGCAAGATTGACAACAAATAGCCCAAAAATCTTTAATATTTAAAAAATTCTAAAACTGGTTATATTACGGAAAACAATCGTTTTAAATTAGAAGTTTTAAGTAATGACGCTAAATATGTGTAAAATAATAGAAATTAATTACAAAATAGATGAAAAAGCAAGATAGAAATTTTCTATTTCGAAAAATCTCGAAAACTGGTTAAATTTCAGAAACTAATAGTACAGCTTTGGGGAAAAATATATTTAATAAAAACGGTCAAAAGAAATTGCTGGAAATTATTTTCAAGTTTGTAGGATGGCCGTTATGGGGTGTAATTATGACGTCAAAACATAAAAATGTAATTTTCTCAAAAAAATACCAAGTATATTGATAAATATTACTATTTTAATCATCGATGTTTTTTTAACAAAAAAGATTCAGGTGTAATTTTTGTCAATTGTGAAATAAGAGTGGTGAGGGAAGGTTAAACTTTAATTTGGAAAAATGCTTGTAACTCCGGTTTGGTTTTACCGAATTTAGTGAACTTGGTTTCGTTCAGAAGTTCTTTTTCAGCGTCATTTTTAGCTGTATAAACTGTAGCTACTTACGTTTTACGAACGCCGTTAGAGGGCGTTAAGTTAAAACCTGACATATTTTGCTAAAATGTTCGAAAAATTTAAATACCATGACATATACCTTTTTACATAGATAGAGCCCAATACTTTGCCGAAAGCCGCATTTATATATCTCTTTCCAAATCGCAGATTTTAGCAAAAATATAAATAAAACGTAGAATTTTTGAGGTTTAAATCTGATTAAAATACTTAAGGATTCACAGTAGAAAATGTATTTATTAACGTACATTACAAAAATATAAATATCAAGAAAATGACAAGTTATTTGATAATATTTACTGACTTTTTACCTATCACGGCTCGCTTGAACAGCATCCAAAGTAGTGAATAGTTAGTAGACTTTCTCCAACAAGAAGCGTAACACATTTAATAAGCTATCATTTTCTACTATTTTTACCTATTTTAAATAATCGAATGATAATAGATAAGAATACATATTTACTTATAAGTATGCACTGAGAGTAAAGATTTTTCTTGCAAATGTAAAGAATTCAACAATTTTCACGTCAGAACATTATTTTGTCGTATTTGCTGTGTTGTTTGTTTTTCCCGCTTAGGTACCGTTTAAGAATCTGCGAACGACATGACAGGTTTGCAAAATGACTGCTTTGGGTATCTCACGATGGTTTTGGATCCTATATCTTGGAGATTTTTAGTAAAGTGTTTTGATATACAGTATGACAAAATTGAGATGGCAAGTCAGAATTAGATGAGCAATAGCAAAAATTCAAAATAAATAAATCTGGCAACACTACACAAGTGAACACAAATAGATCACTGAAACAATATCACCGAAGTGAGATAACTACTCCCATTTTTAGATTAACCAGTGCGCACCTAATTCTGACTTGCCATCTCAATCTTGTCATAATGTAATTTCCTCCACTGACATCACCAGTGGAACTATGGAGACCTCATCTAGTTTCCAGATGTTCTTTAATTCATATGACAGATTTACATATTTCCTGAGCTTCTCGGTCTTGGTTTTAGTGACGTTATATGAGTGGTATAGCTAAATCGATGATCTTTTTTTTTGTCGATAATAACGATGTTTGGTCTATTGTAGTCGACTGCCCTGTCCGTTGTTATCGGCCTATCCCAATACAGCACCTTTTCTGTTGATTCCAGAACACTTATTTAAAGAGAGTTATTGGTGGATGATCTTGGCAACTTGGTTGTGACGTCCTAGGTATGTATGCATTATTATTATAATCATTAGATCCTAATAGTGCTAAGTAATCTTTGTCTTATGTTACATCCATATCATATTGTGCTGCACCAAGCTTTGATCATCACAGTCTATTGTCAATGGTTGATAAATATGATAGCGGAAGATAGAAACCTTTCATAGTAACGGTGGAATAGATATGCACAATATAGATTATTGGTCAGCCAGTAATCCTCGTTGGATGCAGGAGGTGCAGCACCAAGGAAGGTGGAGCGTGAACGTTTGGTGCGGCATTTTAGACACTGAAATCGTAGGTCCTTTTATTTGACCGCTTGGAGGGCAAATATATTTAAATGTTTTGGACAATCACCACTTCTTTTACAAAATGTGCCGTTGGAAACCAGAAGAACAATATTTTTCCAACATGATGGCTGTCTAGCCCATTTCGCAGCAAATATCCGTAGATTTATTGATTGCGCATTTTCTAGTAGGTGGATTGGAAGAGGTAGCATATTTCAGTGGCCTCCGAGGTACCTATTGTTTGTCTATAGTAAAAGGCCAGTGGTAAAGTTTTTGATGGTCGTATCAATACTATTTTCAATTTTGTTGCAGGTCACCGGATTAAACCTGTCGATTTCTACCTTTGGGGCAGATTGAAAGACCTTGTTTTTTGTACGTCTACGACAAGGGAAAATCACAGACGCTATTCATAGCATATCTAGTAGTGTTGCATAAACATAGATAGTAAATCAACTATCGGAACTATCGATAGTCGAAACATCTCTAGAAACAACCCACGCTGGCCGTCGAGTCGAGTGGCCTTTCACATGAAAAGTGTGCACTCGATGTATTTGCGTCCTTGTTCATCGAGCAATATTAAAGTAGGATGCCAATTGCTAATGCAGTCAGTTTTCTCAATGGGTTGACTTTAAAAATGACGCAATTTTAGAGACAGCTTTGCCGTGTTTATAATGGATGTATGAAAATAAGAAACAATCTAATATTATAAGGAAATAAATCAAGACAAGACGCAAGCAAATATAGTACAAAGCGAAATAAAAGTTGAAGCCTTTCGATTTTTACCAACAATACGGAAAATTGCACGACACCATAACAGGTGGTCATAAGCTTGATAACACTTTCTCTTTAATCCCCATTGGTGAATACATTTCCATTTAACTGCAAGGCGCAAGACGAATACACAATACTGTTCTCGGGGAAATACCAGTATTTATTGTTTACTTGCTTTTGTTCTTTTCAAATACCTTTCAAAACTATCGATATTATCGATAGTTTTTGCTATCGATACTATCAATAGCTCTGACTATCGATATTTATGCAACACTAATACCTAGAGCGAAAGTGGAAACAGCTGTCTTGTCGACCAGGGAAAGGTTGGAACTGTGTTCAAATGATGGAAGGGCGTTTGAACATTCGAGACGAGATTGAGTATTAGGTCTTTTGTTTGTGTTTTTCAAAGCTTACTCGATATGCAAATATACACGCTCAATTGATTATTACATAATTATACATTTTTATCTAATATCGTTCGATTATTTAAAATAGGTAAAAATCATAGTAGAAAATGCTGGCTTATAATGTGTTATGCTTCTTGTTGGAGAAAGTCTACTAACTATTCACTACTTTGGATGTTGTTCAAGCGAGCCGTGATAGGTAAAAATTCAGTAAATATTTTCAAATAACTTGTCATTTTCTTGATATTTATATTTTTGTAATGTACGTTAATAAATACATTTTCTACTGTGAATCCTTAAGTATTTTAATCAGATTTAAACCTCAAAAATTCTACGTTTTATTTATATTTTTGCTAAAATCTGCGATTTGGAAAGAGATATATAAATGCGGCTTTCGGCAAAGTATTGGGCTCTATCTATGTAAAAAGGTATATGTCATGGTATTTAAATTTTTCGAACATTTTGGCAAAATATGTCAGGCTTTAACTTAACGCCCTCTAACGGTGTTCGTAAAACGTAAGTAGCTACAGTTTGTACAGCTAAAAATGACGCTGAAAAAGCACTTCTGAACGAAACCAAGTTCACTAAATTCGGTAAAACCAAACCGGAGTTACAAGGATTTTTCCAAATTGAAGTTTAGCCTTCCCCCTACCACTCTATTTCACAATTGACAAAAATTACACCTAAATCTTTTTTGTTAAGAAAACTTTGAAGATTAAAATAGTAATATTTATCAATATACTTTACTTGGTATTTTTTTTGAGAAAATTACATTTTTATGTGTTGATGCCACAATTACGCACCCTAGCGACCATCCTACAAACTTGAAAATAATTGCCAGCAATTTCTCCTAACCGTTTTTATTAAAAATAGTTTTCCCTAAGGCTGTACTATTATTAGTTTCTCTCTTAATGAAACACCCAGTACATCTACTTATTTGCGTTTACGCTGTGATTAATAATTCATCTTTCAAAATCCAAAATTCAATTAACTTATATAAATGGATTCGTACTTATAATCATTACACTTTTGGACAGTCAACACCAAAGACCAACTTACCAAACACGTGTTACTCGTCAGCTGTAGGAATCATAAATACTGAGTACTTTAAAATATGAAATACTCCAAATCTTTCGAGTACTGAGTCCTATCAGGATGAAAGTAGTCACGAGTACCAATTACTGAGTACTCTCAGTACTCAATTACAATTTTAAGTAAAATTTACTGCCCAACTCTGTTCATAAGATGCCTTTAATTGAATGAACGAAAATAAAATAGGCAACATTAAAGAATTGATATGACGTCCATATTTCAATTGCACTGGGCTACAGCAAATAATAATTGCTGTGCCTCCCCAGTATAATATCTGCCTTCAAGGGTATTATTTATTCTGTGAGCTCTACCAGTGCCGTTCCATTTCGGTAATAGCTTGTATTTCCCCTTCAAACTTTTACGCTACTTGTTATGAATAAATAACCCTCGATTATGAAAAAAGAGCTATTTTTCGAGAAAAATTCAAATATATATTTTAAAAAATTACCTACTATTTTTAACAGAATTTTTTAATACGTCCGATTTCTAGGATTCTTTTTTGTTAGAATAGATACCTCAGGGGTGGACTCATATAAATTGAGTCAAGACTTGATGATGAGATTGTTCCAACACAATAGCAAATCGGGATTCTGCGCAGTCTAGATTTGGTGATCCATCAAACTTCGGACTCACACACCCAAACCTAAGGCGATTCTTTACAAGCTTACCACAACATACTTATGTAACCAGAGCAATTCTTTATAAGGTTTAGTTACATGTTACCAAAGCATATGTAGCTACATCTAATGAGGCATTTATAAGCTTACTAGAACATAAAAATAAGAAAATCAAAACATCCTAAAATTCAAATTCCATTTAGAAATCCCCAAACTTAAATAAAATTTGACATGACATTCAAGAATAGGGTTACCACAGTAACGACAATCACAGAACACTTACCATAATACTGTAACCAAGTATGTTGTAGTAAGCTTATAAAGAAATGCCTCTAATCATAAATCATTTTCTGTCCTGTCAAATCAGTTTCTAGGTTTGAATCAAAGATTTGGGACATAAAGATAGGAAATACAACGACCGCAGCAACGATGGCGTCATCTAAGCGTCTCAGATGTTAACTAAAGGAATATGTCGTTTGTAGAGTGTGAACTTCCATCAACTTCTATTACATAGAACAACTCTTTTACCCTGTCCATCAGCATGAGCAGTATCAATGTGGCGCCGATTCTGAAATTAACGAAGTCACCATAATGATAAAAACTATGTTGAATGACATATTAAATCGCGTTTCAGAACAGAAAATTAAAATATTATCCGTCGACAACATTAGACCATTACCAAAAGTAGCCCCCAGAAAAACAAATGAAAAGTTTCGACTAGATAAATCCAGAATGTATACAAGCATACCGGAGAAGGAAAGAATTGGAAATAATGAGAAAACAAAAGTTGGAGAGGAAAAAAAAACAAAAAAAAGTATTACAAAGCGAATGTGAAGCGAAGAAAAAAGAACAAACGTTGAAGAGAAATGCAAAGGGAAGGCACCAAAGAAAAAGTTGAAAAAATAGAAAGTGACCCCTCAGATTCTGATGTGAATTTACCACAGAATGTTGTTCATGAGACATTTTTTTGACGATCTGTCCGATTCTCTGAACGAGTTTCAAGACAATGACGATGTGCTCATGCTTTTGGATGATGACGTAATTCATCGTAATGATTATTTGCTTGTCAAATACCAGACTAACAAAAGGACACTTCATCACATCTTTCGTCTTAAATTTTTTTGAGAAAGTATAAAAGCGGTTTCCGCTTTCCAGACTTGCAAGATATTTCGACTGTTTACCTGACCCTAGGTGTATCTGGGTCTATGTTAATATTGAGTGAAGAAAGTGAAAAGATATATTATTCTGACTTAAATATAGTAAAAAATAAAAATAAATAGTTTTGGACTATTCAATCAAATAATCAAATTTTATAAATCTTTTAATGAGTGCTATAATTTTTTTATTTCCCAAATTCAAAATTGAACATTTTTTTTTAAATTTGTTTTGACTTTGACGTTACTGACAACAAAAAAATGTGTTCCAACACACTACTAACTTTTCACCTGTGACTGGTGATACATTTTTTCATTCCTGTTTAAAAAAGTTGTGGTTGATGTAAAGGTGGATGCATAAGGATTCTTGTAGACGATTATATAAGAGCATGCACTAATATAAAAGATGTTAACTTTTCCCTACCATTTCCAGGAGAACGGTATAGAGACACAGTGACCTTGAATGGGGAGAAATAGAATAATACTGTAAATAATATTTGCCATCGAAAGGGCGAGGTTAAACGAATCTCACCTCCAAATATAATAAGGTCCTCATCTTTATTTTGCCTGAATCGTAGTCAGAGATAACCAGGAGATGTAACTACTAACAAATATCGTGCGGCCCTGAATAAGACATATTGTAAGGGACACAGTAGGGTATAATATCCGCTGTTGTCATATTAGTAAAGTGTATGTATTAAAATATTCGCTCAAGAAAACGATTTACCTTCCACTCTTTTGTCACAAGCTGAATTTTTCACAGATGAAAGGTCATGATAAGGTAACCCTTATTACGGAGGTAATACAAAATTAGACTGTGCACTATCATCAAAAATCCAGATATTGATACAACCGAATAGAGAAAAAAATACTAATTTTTTGATCAAATGTACAATAAAATCTTTGTAGGGAGTAATTGTTTATACTTATTAAAAAAAAATCATTTGCATTAGCCCTTACGGCCGAAAAAAATATAAACGTAAATATATTGGTTTTAGCCCTTCAAAAATTTAGTTAAAAATCGTCTTTTTTAAATATACCACTCATTTAACAAAAAACGAAGGCCTATAAATGAAAAAAAAAATTATTTATAAAATTTTTGCTTATGTGTTGACAAGGTAACAGAGTAAACACCATATTTTTTGCTTTTGAATTAACAAAGATATAACAATAAACGATGAGAGATGTCATAGGTTTAAGCTGTAATTAATTCTCACCGCCAATTTTATCGATTCTCACTGTATCTTTCTCTTCACCTTTAAACGTAGTATAGCTCTGTTTCTCTCTACGTGCCGGCTGATTTATCACATTATTGATATGGTAGGATTTTTCATTTTTTTATTATAAAACTTCTCGTTATGTTCCATTGGGCAATGTGTCATATTGTTATCTGTTTTTACTAAAGAATTAATAAGTGTATGTGTTATATATTAAATTACCTAATAAATTGTGAAGAAATATAGACATTTTTGCATCTTTATTATATCTACATTCATCCTGTTGCAGCTGAATATATTTGGGTAAGTTATAAGTTTTCGTTTAAAATTTTAATTACGGATTTGTTGTTGCAAGTAGCAAAGACAAAAATGATATCAAAATAGGGAAGCCCAAAAGTTGCATATCATTTAAAGAATATGCTCATATACTTGTAAACATTATTTTTGAAATAAATTTAATGCTCAAATGATAGATGTGGTATTTGATCATTATAAAGGACATTCTATCAAAAATACAACACGTCAAAAGAGAGGATCCCAGAAATCAATTGATATAGAAATTGACCGCCCCAATATTCCACTTCCGCAACAATAGAATTTGTTTATTCATTCGATATTTAACAAAAGACGTTTAACAAATTTTCTGCCAGAGCAACTTCAAAACTCCATTCAGCAAAAGCATATTCAATTTGTAACTAGTGGTGGATTCGCGAAAATCAATAAATATGGGAAGAATTTTGAACCATCAAAAGACGATTTTTTAAATTCAAATCACGAAGACGCTGATAATCGTATCTTATTGCACATATTGTCAGCCAAAAATTCGGGGCATTCACGCTGCATTATTTATTACAACGATACAGATGTTCTAGTCTTATTAATTTATTTTAAGAAGTTTTTGACTAAAGATATATGGTTCAGAACAGGTCGAGGAGACTCAAAACGATTTCTAGCAGTACATTATTTAAATTTGGATAAAAACCTTCTAAACATGTGCCTGCTTTTCATTCTCTGACTGGTTGTGATACAACCAGCCAATTGTCCGGCATTGGGAAAAGAACCTGTTGGAAAACCTACCTTGAACACCATTACGTTTTGGATGGATTTGGCACTGATCAGTAGGGTAACATGAGGTTAACTGAACACTTACGTACATCTGTCATGTCATTGTTGGTAATGGCCTCTACTTTTGGAAGTTCAGTGACTTGCTAACAGATGTCACTATAAGTTTATTAATAAATTCTAAAATATTACGAATAAAGCGATCATAACCTAAAATAATTTTAGTAGCGGCTATGTAAATTTTCGACCTCCCAGATATTTTGTGCCACATGCCGAAATCAGTGATACACCCAAAATCTTAGTGGATAGAACTTAAGCGTGAGCACTTTACTATTGATTACCATTATTAAAACTATTGCTAAACCTTATGCTGCTTAGAAATTATTTGTTTATATTTTTTACATATACAACAGGTTATCTGGACACGTCACAACAGGTTAAATGAACAGGTGTCCAGTTAACCTGCAATTTGTAAATTAGCGATTTTCGTAATTTTTTGTAATTGTTTCAGAATTATGCCACGCATCAGGGCACGCACGACCAACAACAGGTCATACTCTGCCGAACTAGTAAAGCAAGCAGTCCAAGAAGTTCTGGAAAAAGGTAGTTCGGTGAGAAGTGTTGCCATGACCCTAAATATACCCAGAATTACCTTGAAAAGATACGTCGATAAAGCTCGAGATAAAGACATAAATTCCATTAACTTTCGACCAACCAATGAGCATCTAATGGTTTTTTCGCAAGAGGAAGAACTTGTTTTAAAGAAATATATTCAACATGCTTGCAATACTCACTACGGTTTATCAAGCAAACAAACTGGCCTACGAATACGCGGTGGCTAACAACAAAAGTGTTAAAGACAGTTGGATCAGAGAAAGTATGGCAGGAAGAGAATGGATGGTTAGCTTTATGAAGAGACACAAGCTATCATTAAGAACCCCAGAACAGACCAGCATGAGTAGAGCAACAAGCTTCAACAAAACAAATGTTGAAGCTTTTTTCAAAAACCTTCTAGAGGTAAAAACGAAATTTAACTTCGAAAGCGAAGACATCTATAACTTGGATGAAACCGGAGCAACTACTGTTCACAAGCCGCCCAAAATACTAGCCACAACAGGCCAAAAAGGCGTGGGCCAAATAACTTCTGCTGAACGAGGGACATTGGTTACAGTTGTGGGTATTATTGGCGCTACAGGCCGTTACGTACCGCCGTTCTTTACATTCCCTCGTGTCCATTTTAAGGATAACATGTTACACGGAACTCCACCTGGGACAAAAGGCGCCGCTACTCCATCTGGATGGATGAACAGCAGTTTATTTCTACCTGTTTTACAGCACTTTGCTCAGCATGAAAGACCGTCCAAAGAACACCCGAAGTTGATCCTACTTGATAACCACGAAAGTCATTTGAGTATTGCTGCACTCAATTTCGCAAAAGAAAATGGCATAATTCTCCTAACTTTGCCCCCACACTGCAGCCACAAGCTTCAACCTCTTGACGTTGCAGTTTTCGGTCCAATTAAAAAGTTTTATAATATTGCTTGTGACAGGTGGATGGTAAATCATCCTGGAAAGACGATTACTATATATGAAGTCGGTGGTCTCGTAGGAGAAGCTTTCCTACAGTCTTTTACTCCAAAAAATATTTGTAGTGGATTCAGGGCCACCGGCATAGAACCATTTAATGCCGACATTTTTTCTGAAGAGGCTTTTTTATCATCGTATGTGACAGACAGACCAAACCCCGAACAATGTCAATTATCCCAACCCCAAACGGAAGAAATACCTGCCAAACCGTCACCAATGACAATAGAACCAACACCTGGTCCTTCAAACGAGAAATTAAACTTAAATCAAAACGAACAGTGTCCTGGAACTTCTAAACTAATAACACCTCAACAAATTCGTCCCTTTCCAAAAGCTGCTCCAAGAAAAATGGCAACTAGGCGTAAGATAGGAAAATCCTTGATTCTAACCAACACTCCCATCAAAGAAAGTCTAGAAGAAGAGGCTAAAAATCGTGAAGATAAGAAAAATAAACAACAAAAAGTAAATGAAACCAAAAGACAAGCAGTAACGAAACGTATTTTGGAATCTAGCTCCTCTGCCAGCGAAGAAAATATAAGTTATCACGAAAGTTCAGATTCACCAGAGGATTTTGACGATTACAATGAGATATCCAGTGATGTTTTAGAGGGAGACTATATTATAGTAAAAGTTTTTGGAAAAACTGCTATAAACTTTCGACATTATGTTGCTAAAGTTCGTAAGCAAATGCTCAATGGTTACGACGTAACTTTTCTGAAACGTTATAACCAACAAATTTATAGATGAAAATGAAATGGGTTTCGTATCCAAAGCAGATGTTTGAAATTACAACCTCCAATAAAAAGTAGCAGCGCTCGCTTTGCAAACATGACATCATTTTCCATTGATTTCAGTGATTTAAATTTCAGTTTTTTAAAATTTTCTAATATTTTAGCTAATACATTTTTCCTTATGTAAGTTTCATTATTTTTTTCAAACCTGTTACTTATATATTTTTCAAGTATTTTATTATTATTTTAAAGATATGTTCAATTAAACTACCCATATGTTCAATTAAACTACCCATATGTTCAATTAACCTACCCATATGTTTCAGTTACGCCCGTAGTACCATAGCTAAAAATGGTACTAAACGCGATTAAACCCTTGATCTGGATTAAACGTGTACGGTGCATACGGGCGTTAACCTGCACATGGGGTTAACTGAACCATATTGCAGGAATACAAAAAATAAAAAAAATAGGCTTCTTTTAATAAACTGTGTGTCAGCTGTATTTTTTTTCCATTGTTATATGATCAAATTATATGCCCTAGACAAAATTTTGGTCTAAGCTTTCAAACCGGAATATCAATTTAAATATTTCCATCAGATGGTTTCAGTTAACCCCATGTTACCCTACTCTGAAAACATATTCTCTAATCTTGAAAGAATTTTCATAAAAATTTATTCAAAACTGAGGGGATTATTGGCCTCTTCAAAAACCATCGCTAAATTGCCACCGACTGAAGACGCCCTAAGACTACATTGTTTAAGATATTTTTACCAGCTAAATATTTGGCTAAGCTCTTTAAACCCAGATGCAGCTTCTTAATGTTGAAGAGTATGGATGGAAAGTAGATCAAGATGGAAGTCTGATACCCACTTTTAAGACTCTATTCGATCTGCCACCAGACATAACAGAACTTACATCATGCAAATGCAAAAAAGATACTATACAATATTCTAACAATAATATTCTGTTCTAGAATGTGTAAGCAAAATTTACAAATGCAGGAAAAAAAATATTTGCTGTATCGGTTCCTGCACCTGTATGGCACAGAAAAACTGCAGAAATAGTTTGACCACAGCCGCTAATGTTTTGGAAAATGTTGATTCGTGTGGTGAATCTGATTCAGATTAGTTTGAAAGTCTTGTAATTATAAATTTTAATATTATTAATTTATGCCTTATATACTTCCTTCCAATTATTATTATTATTATTATAATTTATTTATATTGGGAATTTATTGTATTTTGCAAAGCAATAGCCTCATATACATAATCGATACTTCAATAAATAGTATATATTTTCTTATTTTTCATTTTCCTTTAAACATAAAAAAAATATTGAATATTATATTTTATCAATGACTGCTTATATCTCTGTTATCTCTGGGTTAAACCAATCTCACCTCCAAATATAATAAGCTCCTCATCTTTATTTTGCCTGGATCGTCGTGTTAACATACTGTATAACCTTTTTGGTCCATACCTCATTTTTGATCATTCAATTAAAATGTCCTCCGACAAATTATGAATCACCCTGTATATAAATCAAAACAAGCGTGTTCATTTTTATTTTTTACCATCATTTTTTTTAAAATACTTGAGAAATCAGAAAAGTCAGGGTATTCATAGAGAGAAAAAAACTTCTCAATGGTGTTAAAAACAGCAGATAAAATATAATTTTAAAATGTCATAATTCGTCGTCAATATCACGAAGTTGACGTAACTCGAAAAAATTGAAAATTGAGATAAGTCACATATTATGTAAAAAAAGTATGCTCTACAATTTCACGAAATTGCGTATCTCAATTATTTTATTTATTAAAATAGCACGAATCTAACCGGTGTATCTGATAATTTCACGAAGAGATGTAACTTTATAAAAAAAACTTTAAAACGCTCTCTTGTAAAGTTGTGAAAATCGAGTTAAGTCACTTCGTGATATTGACGACGAATTGTACATTAGACAATGAATTTTTTTCAGAACGAATTCAAATATACAAGAAAAATAAAAGTGAACACTTTCAACGTACCGACATTTTTTTTCCGATTTACAATGATAATATAAGTTATGTCTTCCTAATCTTCTAATAAAACTGTAATTAAAGGTTATATTTCAGTCAGTTGTCTTATGTTTAAAACTGTTAAATAAATATTGTTTTCTTATAAAAATGGTTGGACGTGAATAGCTCAACAATTCCACCTCAAAAAGTTCCTTAGCGGAATTATCAGACTAACAATTTGTACTTTGGAGGATCGGTTATCAAATAGGAATTTTAAAAGTGTAAATTAATACGAAAGTTACTGTTCAGTTAAGCAGTACCAACTGTAATTTGTTTTATTCTTCGTTTGCAAAAAGATTATTCTACTGACTTGACAACTTTTTAGTATCAACATTTTTTGATACAACTTTGTAGTCCATTTTAAAAAAATAATCGTCAACATATTTTATTAAAAAATAATTTAAAAAGCCCAATAAGCTACATTGGCTACGTTCCGCCAATGTAGCATATTTCAAATTTTGACCACCAAAATAATAATTAGTTAACACTGGTAAACAATATTATCCAACAAAAATTAATATAAAAACAAAATAATTATGGTTTATAACAAAAACCACAAAAAAATAATGTGTACAAATAAATTTAAACTCATTAAAACTTAATATAATGGTAGAAAAAAAGTAGAACACTTAGAAGAAAAGTATTTCCCACAAATATTGTTAAAATATGAATTATAGGCTAATAATGTCTAAAATATTGTTTTTTAATACACTCTTCTAAAAGACATTTGGTGGTTTGTCCAAAAACTCCAATGAACCCTGTATAATTTGTTTCCAAGCAAAAAAAATGTGACTATATCACGTGATAAAGCATAAAGGCGGGTTCGGATATTCAATTATTTTGAAACTCACCTAAATTAGGAAGTTTGGAGTTAAAGGAGCTTTTAGCTTAAAGTTGTAAAACGAAATTATCTTGTCTAAATTTTTTCGTTGCCATAGTAACACAACACATTTTTCTTCTGAATGTTCTACTGTTTTTCTTTAACGACCTGAATAAAAAACAACACTTAAGATAATAACAAAATTAAACGGCGGTTTCCCTAAATATCTTAACGGGTTTATCAACGTTTTGTATGTAAATATATCGAGTCACAGTCGCAGGATCAATCATGTCGTCGATTTTTCTGACATCTGTCACCTTGACACTGTCGTTTTCCTTAGCTTGCGGCCCTATTTTTTTGGATCAAACACGAAAATTATTTTAGTCAAAGACCGAGCAATTTGTCTACACAGTGCACAACAAACTCTACAGAAAAACACAAAAATACGAAATAAAATAATGTACAAAATCAACAAAAAAAAAAAAATACTTTTGGGAGAGGAACGACGGTAGATTTTTTAGACGTTATCAAGCAATTTTTTGCCAATGGATGTGTTTCCAAAATAAAAATACATAGCCGGAAAAATGTTCATTAAAATTTTTTGTAATCTGTTTGAATTACTCACAGTCTAAACATCTGTCAGAGTTTCTTTCAACCGGCTGGTAAGGAATTATATTGGGTGACAATGAGACTAGGGCCACGTTAATATCTCTTTTATTTATTAAGTGATTTGGATCAAATTTGAAAAAAAAACATATTAAACATTATTTCGAATTGACACTTATTCTTAAACAAAATGTCCGACTTTTGGAAATAACATTCTTATTTTTAAAAAGAATCACCCTGTATATATATTTTTATCAATGAGTCAAATTCCATAATTTGACAGTGTTGCCAAATTTTCATTTTTTTGTTTCGAGTTATTCGGGTTCATTAGAACATTATTTTCCAGTTCATGGCTTTCTAAGTAAAAAAAGAAAATTTGGCAACACTAAAATATGTAAATGAACCGTAGATACCAAAAAACATAAAATATACATCGGGATCGTTTTAATAAAATCTAATTTAATAGCATTACGGTAAAACCAGCCGGCCAAAAAAGTTTATTAAAATTTTTGTAATCCGTTTGAATGACTCACAGTCTAAACACCTGTCAAAGTTTCTTTCGAGCAACTCGTAACGAGTTATACCGGGTGACAATAAGACTAGGGCCAAGTTAATATCTTTTATTTATTAAGTGAATAAACATACTAGACAAGATATCGAATTGACATTTATACTTATACAAAATGGCCGACTTTGGGTTTTACCGAAACCACTATTAAGTTTAATTTTTAAAATGGTTCAGCCAGTATATTTTTTTGAATCTAAGGGTCAAATTACATAATATGACAGTGTTGCCAATATTAAATTTCTTTGTTTTGAGTTATTTGAGGCTATTAGAACATTATTTTCATTTAAATCATCTAACTTTAAAGCATTCCGTTAAAACCAGTCGGCCATAACATTCATTAAATTTTTTGTAATCTGTTTGAATGACTCACAGTCTAAACTCCTGTCAAAGTTTCTTTCAACCAGCTGGTTACGAGTTATACCGGGTGACAATGAGACTAGAGCCAAGCTAATATCTCTTTTATTTATTGTGTTTTACTGGAAACACCATCAACTTTTATTTTTTAAATGGATCACCCTGTATATTTTTTTGAATCTATTATTGGTCAAATTACATAATATGACAGTGTTGCCAATATTAAATTTCTTTGTTTTGAGTTATTCGAGGCTCTTAGAACATTATTTTCCAGTTCATGGCTTTCTAACTAAAAAAAAAACTTGTTAAAAAAAGAAAAATTGGCAACACTGAAATATGTAATCTGAACCGTAGATTCCAAAAAATTAAAATATACAGCAAGATCCATTTAAAAAATTTAACTTTAAAGCATTCCGGTAAAACCAGTAGGCCATAACGTTCATTAAATTTTTTGTGATCTGTTTGAATGACTCACAGTCTAAACACCTGTCCAAGTTTCTTTCAACCAGCTGATAAAGAGTTATACCGGGTGACAATGAGACTAGGGCCAAGATCTTTTATTTATCAAGTGATTTGGATTAAATGTGGAATAAACATACTAGACAAGATTTCGAATTGACATCTATACTTAAACAAAATGGCCGACTTTCGGTTTTACCGGAAACATTATTAAGTTTAATTTTTAAAATGGATCATTCTGTATAATTTTTTGAATCTAAGGGTCAAATTACATATGACAAAGAAAATTCGGTAAAAATGAAATATGTAATTTGAACCATTTTAGATATCCTAGTAGATCAACCTTATAGACGTTTCATTGGAGACAATTCTGTCGCGACATCTGTTAGAACAGTTCAGAACGTCATCAAAATGGCCAGAGCGCTAGCGCTTCCTCGATTATTGAGTATAGAATTCCATATACATAAAGTTTTCTTAATTTTTAAATTCATTTGAATAGATTGCTAAATTTAAATTAATATTGTTTATATTCTTTAAAATGTTGATAAATCATAAATAAATGTTCATCAAGCATAATTAAACGCGTTTAGCTCATTTTTAAAACAAATATTCTGAATCGATAAATAGAGAAATTACGTTCGTTATTCAGTTTCGACAACCGTTCGATGGCTCGGTAGAAGACGACAAAATTATCAAAGACATGACTTTTGGACACCACGGAGCTTGCTGCCATCTATTGATAATGTCCATTGCCCTCCAAGATAATTTGCATTGGTATTGTTCTACTAGTTGATCTAAATGCAATGTTTGAACTGTAGATTCAAAAAAACAAAATATACAGCGGGATCCATTTAAAAAATCTAACTTAATGGCATTCCAGAAAAACCAGTCGACCATTTTGTTTAAGTATAAGTGCTAAATAGAAATTATGTCTAGTAGGTTTGTCGCAAATTTAATCCAAATCGCTTCATAAATGAAAGAGATATTAATGTGGCCCTGGTATCATTGTCACTCGGTATATACTACAGGATGTAACAAAAAATGTACAGTAACTTTAAACATAGTTTCTAGGGTCGAAATTAAGTGAATTTAAGCTAACTTTCACTAATAAATAATGGCTAATAAAAAAGCTATCGATCAATTACGCACTGATGTATAATTGGCTAACTTGTTGCTATCGTTGGATAGGTAAATTTATAAGGAATTGTATGCTAAAATAATATATAAGGTGTTCCATTTGAAAAATTTGAGTAAATTGAACTTAAAATTAGCCATTTTAAAGACATGTGTCGTTAGCTTGGTATTTTATAAGTCTTTATTTAAAATCATTGCTAATTTACCTAAATTATAATGTATTTTGGTGTCTGATTTATTCTCCAATTTCACAAAAAAATTAATTGCTTGGCAAACCTAATATTTTAAAAAAACAGTCTAGGATTGAATACAGTTTTACCAGACTATTTTAAAATTGAAATAAAATACAGGGTGTTCCATTTAAAAAATATAGATAATGACAGCGAAAAACTTTCATTCTAAGAAATTTCTTCTCCAATCATAAATAAGAGAATTATATATATATAAAAAAAAAAGAGAAAAACAATCCCCCATAAAGTAGCCTTCTCCCAGTTGCTCCGACTATGTCTAAAATCTAATCAGCTCTTCAGGGACTTCTGGAAATCGAAATCGGTTTGATATTTTGGGCAGTATCATGCTAACACAAAAACAAAAACGTTACACACATACATCCGGTGTTATCTCAAATTAGAATGTTGGAGTGATTGCAATAACCTGCCCATTTTTATGTGTTGGTGGAGAGGTTAAAATAAATTTGGATAAACATGATAAAAACGAGTATTTTTTAACTTTGTGAATTTTTTTGTAAAATAATCCAAACAAACTATACAATCATTATAAAATGTGATAAAATAAATACAAATTTTCAATATCTAAACCTCAATAAACAAAGTGCGTCATGGAATAAATAATACTAGTTGCTGCAATTTGAAAAGAAATTACCTTTACTCACAACTTGGTACCAGGGGACACAATTTTTTTTTTCTAATTTTGACATACAAATTGAAATTTTTTGTAATCGCAAAAAGTGTTAAAATGATCTAATTCATGAAAACTTTTATGTAACTGGTTACATAGAGTTGAATATCCACATCGGATGTATCTGAAATGTTACGAAATGTCGTTTAGTGTAATTCGTTCATTTTGTGAGACCTCGCTCTACTCGTCCTGAAAATATTTACTCGTTACTTAAAATCAGACATTTCGTAACTGATTGTTACTTAAATAGCTATTAAATTCGAATATTTTTGTGTTCTTAGCACCAAAAAAAAGTAACGAAACATATTCTTCCTTAAAAATAACTGGTATGGCATATCTTATTCATTCGGCTTTTTAAAATAAGCAATAAGCTACCGCTGCAACCATTTGTCAAAATGATAATATAATTTTAAGCATAAACCTTCTAATTTAGAAGGTTTAATGCAAGCGTATTTTATTGTTTGAACTAAAAAATCCACCGTCTTTCCTCACAATTTTCTAGTGTGCAACACTGCAAGCGTCAAAATTCTACAGCGGTCGCAAAAATCCTTCAAAATAAAAATTAATCTACAAAAAAAAAAACAAAAATCACACTATAGCACAACAATTTATTTTAGGTCGCGATTTCAGTTTCTTAAACCTACATCTTTTCTTTTTGCGCTTATCCTCCGCAATAATAGGAACATCTACGGGATCGTCAACGATTGACACTTCTTCGAAACACTGGGCGAGTTTAGCGGGAGATCCGTTCTCATTCTCAAACTCGAACCAATCTTCGTCCGAGGAACTGTGATGACTTTGGAGTCGGTTCAAAGATCCCGACTTAGGAGTGGAAATCAGTCTGACGCGTGCGTGTTTCGGGGTCTCGGACATAGCCCGAGTGCGGAACATAAAGTGTTTCGGCTTGTCAACGTCAACGTTCTCGGAAGCGGAACGTTTCATTTGATGTTTCGGAGATCTGTTCAACTCCATGCGAATTATGCTCTCTAACCGACTTTTAAGTTGCAATGGAGACACCGAACTTTTAATATCGTCCTCTCCGTTCTCCACGACCGCTCGTAGGGGCGAGTGAGAATGCGAATCTTGGCTTTCCGGGGTGTAGGGTTCGTGCGATAGCATATCTCGAGTGATAGGTTCGTGTAGGAGTTGCGAATTTACAAGTGGCAATTTTTGGAAACTAGTTTTGCTATAGTCGCTCATGTCTACAACACTTATTTTTATTGAAGCGTAAATCTGGCAACATTGGCATTTGTCAGGCAAGCAAGCAAAAGGTGCGTGTTCACAACAAACGATTGTACCTGCTTTTTCCTTTAGGTGTATCTTTAGATAGACTGGCTGTAAAGTTAAGAAATAAATAAGTTAAAAAACAAATAGGTTTGAAAGCTGTGACACATCTATCAGTGAGAAAGATGTAATCATATCAATTAATGATATAACTTGGATTTATGTTAACAAAATGGTTTCATTCAAATTGAACATGCCTACTTGTTTTAAAAACCTGTATATTCAACTGGTTAACTATATTAAAATCAATAGGCCTGTTCCAACAACGATCAGAAACCAGTCACCGACACCAGGATACTGCGCAGTTGATTATTTCGATCGCTAAATTATATACTACGCAGAATCCTGGTATCAGTGACTGGTTTCTTACCGTAGTTGGAACATACATAAGGAATAATAATGAAATCAGGTTGTAAGCTTAAAAAATAAATGAAGTTACGTACAGTTTGATTTGACATACAATGTGGCCCAACGAAAACTTGACATTGGGGTTTAGCGTACTAATAACGTAGATGTTAAAAAAAAACGCTCGGGCAGGTCAATTTTAATCTGGAGGGGGACATCCTTAACTGTTATATTATGTCAATCCCCTTCCCTCCGTCATTTTAACCAATACAATTTAAATAGGTAAAGTAGCTAGTATGATACATCAATGAAACAGTAATTTTTGGAGAATTCAACAATGACTATTAGAAATTTTGAAAATTGGGAAACAAATCTCAAAAATCCCCCTACAAATTATGAAGACCTTCCCGGAATTCCAAAGGTGAAAACAAATACTTGGAGATTTGAAAAAGCCAGTCGTCGCCGAGTTTCGAACCCAGACATCTTTGTTCTGTACACAAATGCTCTTAAAGCGAACAGTAAACATAAATGTAGAAGATGTGAATATAAGAGGCTTGGTTGCGAGGAGATATCCACAGGGAGGGGTTCTATCACCTCTACTGTGGAACATGGTCCTCGACAACCTCATCAGCCGCCTCATTAATGACAGTCACTACACAACAGCATATGCAGATGATCTGATCATTCTGCAAACAGGGAATTTTGAGAATATACTCTGAAAGAATACAAGTAGCTCTCAAAATTATAGTGGTGCAAGGACCATTCACTGTCTATCAATCCTAAGAAGACAAAAATGGTCCTTTTCACAAGGAAAAGGATGCAAATGGAATTAAAACCTCCAGAACCCCCAAACAAAAAACTAAACTTTGCAACAGAGGTGAAGTACTTAGGTCTTACCTTTGCAAGCAAGTAAACATGGAACTCGCATTTAGAAAACAACAGAGTCAAAAGAGCATACATTGCTTATGAACAATGCCGCCGAACCGTGGGTCGTACCTGGAGTTTCTCCCCCAGAGTCGTCGCATGGACTTACAAGGCTATCATAAGACCTATGCTGACATACGGTGCAGTTGTCTGGGTACCGAAAACCCAAAAATTACCAGAACAAATTCAAAGGACAGCATGTCTCAACATAACAGGAGCCATGAAAACAACACCGACCAGAGCTATGGAAGTCATTCTTAGTCTCACTCCCCTTGATATTTACATCAAGGCGGTTGCTCTAACGACAATGACACGCTTCCGCAAGGTTGAAATTGAACCTGATGTAGGATCTGGTGAGGCGAGAAGTCGCTTTTGACAGGAGACACTCGCTATTTTAAGGGAACATGGACTCCATCCCACCGATCCATCTCAACGAGATATATCTTCCATAAGCCCTATAAAGTTATAACAGAACAAATGGAAGAGCCGGAAGTGGCAGGTACGATTCATATCTACACCGACAGTTCTAAAATAAAAAAAGGCTCAAGATGTGGAATATACTCTTCTTAAACCTAAACATAGCAATAGTGCCAGTGTAGTTCAAACAGAGCTAACGAGGATTCTCATAGCAGCAGAAGAAATTACCAGAAACAATATCACTGGAAGGAACATGCTTATTTATCTATACAGATAGCAGACAAGCACTACTCACTCTGAACAAACCACGAATTTTCTTAGGGTTAGTACTAGAATGTCACGAAGCTTTGGCCGAAGTATCCATCAACAATGTGGTCACCTTAAGATGGATCAAAGGTCACGCCATTTCAAAAGGTAACCGTCTTGTTGTTTCATTAGCCAAGAAAGCAGCCAACCAAATACTGTTGGACCTGGCCCTTCTATTGGCCTGACAGACCTAGTTAAAGAACATTCCCTGAAATTCAAGGAAAGATGGAATGAAACAAGAAACTGCTGAGTTGCCAGAGAGCTCTTAAGTGATTCTGACAACACTGTAGCAAACAAATACTTGACTATGACTAGACAGAATCTGCGCCTAGTTACAGGCATTCTGAATTTTATTAGTAATTTATTGTACAATATAAGACATAACTTAATGAAAAATGAACTCAATGTTCTAAACACAATACCAAGAATAAAGGCTTTATTCAACTTAAAATACAACTGACAAATATAATGTCATTAACAAAATAATGATAAGACAACTTTACGAACTCCATGGTGACGACAAAGTAACTAGCACATTACTCAATTATTTGAAAAAGAGTGCGGATTTCTAAGGGTAAGAAATCAACTAAAATAACACATTTATGCTACATGTTAAGTCACTAATAAAATTATCTTTCAAATAAAGTATCGCATCTTACAATAATAGTCTAAGATCCGAAATAAGGTCGACCTTCACCCACCTGTTTACCGAATGAAAGTTTCTTTTTATTAAATAAAATATGTTTATAAATATATTGCAAAAGGGTTGCCTAAGAAAATACGGTCCAGAGTATTTATTTTCTAAAAATAAAAAAAACAACACCCTGTAAAGGATTTCCCAGATGCTTCGATTATGGCCACACTTTAATCAGCTCATCGCAGGATAGATTAAAGCCTAAGTTTAAAATTTGGCGTTTTTCTCTTTATCCGTTTTTGAGTTGTCTTCAAAATTTGAAATTTGCAATTTTTCTTAAATATCTTGAATTAGGTCCATTTTAGGGAAATCATGTATAGGGACAAAATAATAGAGAATGACATCATAAGCAACTTTTATCATGATTCCTATACTTTCTTCATCTGTACACAGAAAGTAAAGCAAAAAATGGCCGTGACCGTATTTTTTTAGGCAACCCATTTGCGGTATATTTAAAAACATATTTTATTTAATAAAAAGAAACTTTCATCCGGTAAACGGATGGGTGAAGGTCGACCTTACTTACGGATCCTGGACTAAAGTCTATTCAGATTTCATTTACGCCGCTTCAAAACAATTTCTCCCATCCAGCAACAGCTCACGTGACATTTTTTTGCGCTTCTATTGGTTAATCGGTCGTTAGTCATTTAGACGACGCGCAAATATTTTTTGTCAGAGTCGAATTCAGTTCAATTTGGATAATTATAAACGGCGTTTTGGTAGAATTCACCGTGTTGGTTAGTTTGGACATTTTGTATGTTTTTGTGTTGTTGTTAGTTTGAACATGTTTTACTCTATTTTATGGACATTTAATTGACTATATTTTGTAATTGCTGCGTGATAATATGTCCTCCACAGATACAGCAGATGAAGTCCAGAAAAATGTTTTTACTCCTTCTAAAAAGCGACTGAAAAAGGGACATTTGGTCATCCGTACTAAAGAAATGGTTCTTAATATTTATAAGTATTAAATTTTATAGAACCCTGATATGTTGGTACATGATGTTGAAAGGAGAGTTGCTGATAAAACAGGGATGTGCGCTAAAACCGTTTTTAATGTTATGAAGGAGTATAGGCAGATTCATAAATTTTCTGAACCAAAAAGAAAGCTACGTTATAAACAAATTAGTGGCTCTGTGGATGATTTTGATAAAAATGCAATAAGGCGCAAAGTACATCAATTCTTCTTTAGAAATTAACTTCCAACAATTGATAAGGTTTTATAAGAAGTCAACGTTGGTCCATATTTGTCTACTTTTAAGCGAGCTACATTTTACAAGCTTTTCAAAACCCAATTTTAGCGTCCACCTGCTTCTGTTTACATCAGGCGTAAATTAAATTTGAATAGACTTTATAAGTAACAGTTTTTATCCCGCTGGAGGGCGCTAAAATTAAAATTTAAATTGTATTGGTTAGAGATATGGGGAAAGTGGCATTGACGTATAACAGTTGAGAATTAGATTAAAGGATGTTCCCCTCCAAAAAATTGACCTGCCTGAACATTTTTTAACATCTCATTATCAAGTTTTCGTTGGGCCACCTTGTAAAATATGTTGCCCAAAAAAGGAATTTGTCTTATACCCTTCATATATTCCCAAATTCACCAATTTTTTCAACCTTCGATTAAACGGCACATTCCTTATCTGACGAACTTGACCTGTTCAATCGATATATGTTTTTTTTATGTACGTAATTTGTAATTAATTTATAACTTAATTTCGTTTATGTTATGTTTGATAATGAATGTATAATCAACATGTAAAGTTATTGGTAAATAATATAAATAATAAGGTAACATAAACATACTTAATACAAGAAAAATAAGGTAAATTTGTTTACTGATATATCAAATTTTGAATGTCAATTTTCTTAACAAAACTTCATTTAAACTTATAAGCTTAAAATATAGGAAACTCTTGTATTAGAACTAGTATCCTTTTTCCTAATTCCTAATTCTACAACATATACAAACACTTTTGACATTTGTCAATTTATTTGACATTTCTAATAATATTTTTAGTTACATGATGTGCAGGTATTGTCGTGTTAGTAGCTACCATCAGTCAAATAAAACTAATTTAAATTAGAACTCTACGGCATAACCGAAATGAATTTTTCTTTTAAATATAGCGTCAAATATACTGCTTATCATAAAAAATGGTACACCTAGAAGCACTGACGATATTTTATTGAAATTAAACACATTTATTTACTGCCTTTGTATAATTGATAAAAAACTGCTTGAGGATTTTTATCCTGCCTGAAATGTGTTTAATTTCAATAAAATATCATCAGTGCTTCTAGGTGTACCATTTTTTATAACAAGTAGTATATATTTTACATTTAGAAGCTTTATACATGTTTT